AGTTTCCTCTTTCAATCTTGCTTCATGAGCTTAATATGTTTATTTATTTTCAAATCAATTCCAAAATAATTCAATCTGCAGGGAAAGTTTTGTCACCATCAAAAGGGGGAGATTGTTGAGGAAAACTCCTATTGATTTTGAAGTTGACAAAACCTTCCATATTATTGTAAATCGATACTTATTCGAACTAATTTATTCCGGTATGTATATTACGGAAGCTCGGAAGAAGTTATTCGGATTTTACAAGGCGGTAAATACCTTATTGAAGACCCACATAATCTTAGTTCTGAAGACTCAGACGCTGAAATTATTCAGACGCAGAAATTATTCAGATGCAGACGAAGAAATTATTCAAATGCAGACGAAGAAATTATTCAGATGCAGACGCACAATTTCTTCGGACGCAGAATTCAGAACGAGACATAACAGCTAGTGATCTGGTATGGATTTCACAGAAAGAAAGTTTTGATTGTTTCAATCTAAGGCTATAATTGATTGACAATCAAACACTACGACAAGCATGCATTACAACGGACAAAGCTCTACTTATGGAAACCAAGATTTTGATTGTATGGGCGACCAGAATCAGCGGGATTCAGAATCTGTCATCCAACGGCTACTCAATCATTTCTATACAAATCTGTCCAAGGTGAAGATTGGAAGATGATCCTCTGAATGCTGTCCAACGGCTAGTTTGGAAGTAGAGGAGTATTTAAGGAGATCAACGAGCAGCAGAAGGAAGTACAGAATCAAGAATCATCAAGTCCAAAGTCTGAGCATACTCCGATCATTTGTCTTGTCTTTTTTAGCCAAACATTAAGATCTTGAGGGATACTTTGTAAGAGTGATTGTGTGAAATAGAGAGTCTTATCATACACAAGAGTGTTCACACTCGAAGTTGTAATTCCTCTTGATTACATAGTGAAATCCGGCCAAGAGGTCATGTAAGCGTGGGAGAGTGAACGTAGGCTTGCTATAAGCCGAACCACTATAAACTTGTGTGCAGATTCTCTATCCCTTATCTCTTCCTTTACATTCTGCACATCAAGAGCATCGTCTATATAATCTGTCTTGAATCTGAATTTTATTCAGACTCTTCTGTGATTTATTTTGTTTCCGTATAAATTATCAAAAATTGTTTAAGATCACCTATTCACCCCCCTCTAGGTGATCCTTGCTAGCTACATCAAAAATAACATAGAAACACGATATAAATAGTAGATCAATCATGATTCAGACCTGCAGAGAAGAGGGACCGCCTCTGGGTCTAGCACTCCACGCGAGAAATCAAACCAGATAGTGTCCTTCCAAGTTGCTGCTTTGGACCTAAACAAGTCTCCATTGCTGCAGGACCTAAATTTCTTTGCATCATCTCTTGAGTACCACTCTCTCTTCATTCCCTCAGGCTGCTCGTGGAACTGCTTGACAGCTTCCAACATGCCGTCCATCGCGTGGACCGGAACACCATGGTTGATTATCTGGAAGAACCCCCACATCTCGGATGCTCTACAGAGGTCGTTGACCACATCTCGCCGCCGGGAATCCCAATAGCCCATCATGTCAATGATTGGGACCTCGAGGCCGGTGGCAGCCCCATCAGTGTCGGGGGACAAGTCGCGCAGGTTCTCGGGTGGGTGGATGAAGAGCCTGGGGACCTTGGCCACGCCCGAGTCTACGAGTCCTTTGACTCCGGCTTTGCTCTCGTCGAATTCCTTTGCTTCTTTCGCCTTGTCGTAGTGTGGTTCGCTATCGGTGATGGGTTCTCCATGACTGGGCAAGGTTTGCATCTTTGTAAGTGGAAACTTTGAAGCCTATTCAGGTGATTGAGTCATGTCCTTTCTGGTGAGGCTATATGACCATTTATATTCTGCAGAAAACATGGAGGAGCCGGTAGGCGCCAATTATCGACCAAACAAAAAAAAAAGGAGTAGGTGCCAATCACATCGACTCAGATCGAAAGATAATCTTATCACCGGATAGTGCCCGGATTGGAGTTTCTTGTCATTGTGGCCACATGCTGACGAACGTGGCCTTGATAATAATAAAAAAACAGGAGAGTGTTGCTTTTCTTTCAAGCATTTGTCGCATTCATTGTGTTGGAACGTGATCCATTTTTGAAAGAAATGCCTAGAACTACGAAAGTCTAATAGTGGGTAGTTGAACCTACTGCTGTCCACAAGAGTGTGTGTATAAGAATCCAACTCTCAAGGAGTAGTTGGATTTTGTGATAAAAAAAAATGGCAAAAGGACACTACAAGTGTCATAAGTTGTGTACGGAGGATACTTTGGTGTCATAACTTTTTTTCGGAACACTTTAGTGCCAAGTCGAAGGAAAAAAGATCACTTAAGTGCTAATTTAGCCGGAAATCCGACGTGGCATTTTTTATTAATTTTTTACGCCGACGTGGCTCGCCGGAGGATGAGTCAGCGTGTACAGTCAGCATTTTTTTTTTAAATAATTTTTTCCAGCGTGTACAGTCAGCATTTTTTATTTTAAATATTTTTTTTCCTCTTCTTTCCTTTTTCCTTTCTTTTCTTTTTTTTCTTTTCTCCCCTCGCCGGCCGGTTGCCGGTAGTTGGCCCAGCCGCCGGCCGGTTGCCGGTGGCCGACCCAGCCACCGGCGAAGCCCGGGAAGGACTGGGCAAGGGCGGCCTTGCCCATGGCCGGCGAGGGGCGGCCTCGCCAGATCTGGGCAAGGCGACCCTCGCTGGCGCACGGCGAGGGCGGCCTCGCCCGAGTCCGGGCGAGGCGACTCTCGCCGGCGACAGGCGAGGCCGCCCCTCGCCGGCCAAGGGCGAGGGCCGCCTCGCCGGATCCGGGTGAGGCGACCCGCCGGCGACCGCGGCGAGGGGCGGCCTCGCCGGATCCGGGCGAGGCGACCCTCACCGGCGGCCCGGCGCGGGCGGCCTCGCATGTCGCCGGCGAGGGTCACCTCGCCCGGATCGGCGAGGCCGCCCTCGCCGGCCATGGGCAAAGCCGCCCTCGCCTAGCCCTTCCCGGGCATCGCCGGTGGCCGGCCCGGCCACGGAAACCGGCCAATGAGGGGAGAAAAGAAAAAAAAGAAAAGAAAGGAAAGAAGAGGAAAAAAAAAGGAAAAAAATTATTTAAAATAAAAAATGCTAACTGTACACGCTGACTCATCCTCCAGCGAGCCACGTCGGCGTCAAAAATTAATAAAAAATGCCACGTTGGATTTCCGGCCAAATTGGCACTTAAGTGATCTATTTTCCTTTTACTTGGCATTAAAGTGTTCCGAAAAAAAGTTATGGCACCAAAGTGTCCTCCGTACACAACTTATGGCACTTGTAGTGTCCTTTTGCCCAAAAAAAATAGAAGAGCCGGTGTGAGAAGAACCCCAAAATATCGGCATAAGGAAGCTGCAAGTGTCAGAACTTTCGTACGGTGCTAGCTAATGTGTCATAACCTTTTTTTCGACCACTTAAGTGCCATGATTTCTTAAGAAAAGTTATGACATTCAAGTGAGCGCCGTACGAATATGATATCACTTGTAGTATCCTTTTTCTCCGTCATATCTCTTCAACTTTATCGGTGGAGATTGCCTATAAAAAGGCTTGGCTCATTCATCTAGACGTGTGGGGTCAAGTCCACCGTGAGGGGAGCTAAACATACAGAAACCACATCTCTTGTAATGCTCCTCCATCACTTGTACAACTATTCTGTTAAACTAATCATGCTATCCTTGTCCCATGAAACCCTGAATATGTATACCTCGTCCCATTGCTATTCTCTACCATCCATATCCTACACGCATACACACTTGTACATCAAACCACAAGCTAACGGCGGTATCAAAACCACGCGGAATTCAACATGAACGTTGACAATGTATCGGCAATCGAAAACGAATCGCTTCGATTAACTAGCAATTGTCATACGATATTTCACATTCAAATGCCAACATATTGATGGAGGGCCTAAAATGCGACTGACGCAGCAAGGTTGTTTTCGGGCACTGAAACTCAACAGTGATTCTGCAAGCAATTATACTTGCGCAAATAAAAGAAATTCATCCCTTCCGGGCTGGAACATACACTAATAAAATAACTCAAATTGTCGTAAGTAGTTTAGTAGCCATGCTTCGTAATTGTCTCCATAATTATAATTTTCCTATGAGTCTTGGGAAATGAGAAGTCACTAACCATGCTTTATGTTGTGGAAGTAAGCGATCGAACAATAAGATAGATACAACGAGGAAATAGATCGGATATCAGATTTACGTGGTTCGGCTACGTTCACGGGGAGAGCAGTAAATAATTTCACTATAGATCAAGCGATATAATGGAGATTACAATCACACTCAAGTCACTCAAACACTCTCAGTGTTTTCCAGTCTCAAATTACATTTAATAACTCTCGTAGTATTTAGCCCCACAATTTCTCGCGAAATAATCTTTCAATCTCATAGAGGAATTACACAAATCTTATCACAAGATTTAAAACTTCTCGTACAAATATCCCTATTATTCTTTGACAACAAAATCATGAATTTCATGGCGCCTTTTCTGGTCTCCCAAGCCAAGTATTTCGATGACATGACGGGAAACAAATCTCTCCAAAAGTTTAGGGGCATATTTGTTTAATATATTCGCTGTTAGTCCTACAACTACCGTTGCTATGTCTCATGAGTTATGGACACACAAGGCCAAAACATCTGTGTCGGGCTTGCGAACTGCCGGTGAACCTGTTGGACTCCGTAGTTCAAATTGGTACTGTTCTTGCCAGCCTCCCTCCGTTTGAAGGAGGCTGGAAAACTAGGTTGCTCGGTTGAAGGAGCTTGGGCTTTGAACAAGTAGCGAAAATAGTTGATTGCAAGGATTTGATTGAAAATCACTTGTGCAAGTTTTAATGATTAAATCTGCTTTTTTTCCAATAGTCAATATCACTAACGATGAATCTTCCTTCGCATCTAAAACTCAAGGTGCTCGAAGATGCTACAGATTGAGGGAAATTCATAAACGCCAAAACCTTAAACTAATCATTTGAAGAACATAGTCACATTCCACTATGCATCAGAAGAATTAATTTTGACACAGTCTTGTCTTAGATGAGTAAGATTTAAAGCCCAAATCGAAACAGGTAGTAACAAAGTACTGCCACAAACTCAGATTACGATATAACCAGTCAAGACACACTCTTTCAGGCTTTTCCACGACTATGCTCTATTTGGAATCGCTTATCCTGAAATAAGGAAGTGCTGAATTGTCCCTCTGGCCATGGGATTTGAAATAGGCAACGTATTCCAAAGGAGAGATTTCTTTGTATATGGCTGGATTGTTTTCAGAGAGAAGCTCCTTTATTGGCCCAAAGGGTTTGGTGTTTTCCATCCTGCAAGGGGAGAGAAAGCACGCGACCGAAACCCTGGGTCCGACCCGCCCAGCAAGTACTCGGTGCTCCACGCTTTTGAACTTATCGTTGGTAACAAGCTGCACCCATCGTATCAGGCCAGAAAAGGAGTAATGACTTCAAAAGATGTGTTAAAGATGAATGCCAAGAGCCAGGATAGAATGCAGTTTGTTTAAGATCAGTTAAAATGCGGTCGCTCCTAGCTACGTTGCCCTGTCATTTCACTTGTGATTCTTCTCAAGTGTTCAGAATATCATGGGAAGTTCATCCTAAATTCTATTGGTCACTCAGAAAGTATTGTCTGCACTCATTATATAGTTGATGTCATGAAAGGCGATCAAAATCGACTCCAGATAAACATATCACGAGTTTAATTTCGTATTAGCCATGTAGGCCAGAAAAAAATAAGGTCAGATAAAATTTGAAACTTTCTTTACCTGCATGAAGTCTCCAATGTTGGCTAGAAGTGCTCCATGCACTGGAATCACATCAACCCAGTGGTTTTCATGGAGGACTTGGAGACCACCGTGGTGGTCTTGAAGGAGAAGAGTCAGAAACGACATGTCAGAGTGATTAATCGTGCCCAAAGTCAATTCCGGTTCTGGACAAGCTGGGTAGTAATGGCCTAGAATCTTCTCCGAATTCATACACTCAGTGCCACTGAGATAATCAGGACCAAGGCCCAATGCCTCAGATAATAATTCGGATAAAGAAGTCTTCAGTTTCGCCATATGTTTCTCGTACTCGAAAACTGCCTCTCTGCAAACAAGTAAATGAAAGCACTGTGTGTGAGTTTCCAATATCAAGGTTTGTAGCAAAGAACACGCTCTTTTCTTATCCAAAAAAAGTGCATGTTCAATTTGTGAAACACCTTCGCACTCCCTTAACTATTACTAAGGTTGTTAAAGTGTACTCTAAAACCAAGCTCGGAACAGTATCGAAATGCATTACACTGAATGATCCTGTTTACACAGTTCCCCTTTTTTGAAAATACAAAGTATGTTAAATCGAATCCCAACCTGTCCTCAGTAAAAGAAATGGCCAAAACTGTTCGCATCTCAAGTAGCAACTCCGATTATTATCTTTCTCAAGTCATACACATACCTGCAAATAGGCGGAACAGCCTCTGGGTCTAGGACACCATCCTGGAAATCAAATAAGACACTGTCCCTCCAAGTCGCTGCTTTTAACAGGAACAAGTTTCCACAGCAAAAGTACCTCACTCTCTTCGTCCGATCTCTAGAGTACAGCTCTTTCTTCACTTCCACTTGTTGCTCATGGAACTTCTTCACACCCTCCAACATGTTGTCCATCACATCAAGTGGAATCCCGTGATTGATTATCTGAAAGAACCCCCAAGCCTCCGATGCTTCGCGAATACCATCTATGATATCTTGCCGGCGAGAATACTGGTAGCCTCTTAGATCGACTATAGGGACCTGGAGGCCTGTCCGGTTCACATCGGATGACAAATCGTGCAAGTTCTCGGGCGGGTGGATGAAGATTTTAGGGATCTTGGTCACCCCAGAGTCCACGAGGCCTTTGACTCCAGCCTTGGTCTCGTCGAATTCCTGCAATTCTTTCACTCTGTCGTAATGTGGTGCGCTACAGGTGATGGATTCTCGATGATTGGGCAAGGTTTGCATCTTTGTAAGGGGAAATTTTGAAGCCTAGTAAGGTGATTGAATTGCATCCTTTCTGTGAGGCCATTTTCCATATATTTTCTGCAGAAACAAGGAGAGCCCGTAGGTGCCAGTGGCATCGACAGAGATCAAAAGGTTCTCTTATCACCGGATAGTGCCTGGATGAGAGTTTTAGTCAAATGAAACATCCAATCTGGCCACATGCTGATGACCATGGCCTGAATAATAAATAAGGGGACTGTTTTATTATTCTCTCAAGCATTTATCAGGTGCACTGACTTTATATCAGCAATGAAAAACAAATTGCTTCGATTGACTAGCAATTATCATATCATATTTCACATAAAATGCCAATATATCGATGGAGGGCCCGAAATTGGATCAAGGCAACAAAGGCTAGTTTCAGGCTTTGAAATTCTGACACTGATCACAACGGCGGAACGTGATAGGAAATATCTCATATCGAATTTCAAAATGTACCTTATTTTTTAGCATGCAAATAGGCAATACCTGTTTGGGAAGAAGACAGAAAAGAAGCTGAAATAGCATTGCAGATCTTAGAAGGGATCAGCAGTAACAGTTCAACGAATGGATCAGACTCAGAGCATCTTCTGGAAGCTGTAGCGGCTAAAGTTTGACAGAGTGGTCATGACGAAAAAAATGAGGGATCATTTTCCAAATCGTTATGGTCTCCAATGGTTTCAGGAAGAGTTTCAGTAGCTTCCAGCTCTAGCCCTTCTAAGTTCACTGCTCAATCAGTGGGTTATTCAATTGATCAGCCCTATCATAGGGAAGGACCAGGCTTAAGTTAATCAGACAGAAGTCTTGCTAAGTCTTCCACAAGTATTTCCTCTTCTTGTCAAACTTCACGTGGCAAGCTCTTAGACAGGTCATCGGAGCTTGCGAAAAACAGCAAAAGAGGGCTAGACCTGGGGAAAATCTTACGCCCAGGCCTAGGGACAGACAACTGATTCAAGATTTTCTAAAGGAACTAAGAGAGTTGGTGCCCAGTGGGTCAAAGGCAAGTTCAAATGTAATTGCTGTCTTCTTGCTTTTGACGGTTTTTCTTCTTATCAGGGTTATATGTTTCTTTCTGCACTAACAAAATTTCAAACAATTGCAGTGTAGTATCGATGCACTGTTGGAGCACATAATCAAGCATATGCTTTTTGTACAGAGCATCACTAAGGACGCTGACAAGCTAGACAAGTGCGCCGAATTGATGGTGAGAAGACTGTTCTCCTTAAAACTGTAGATGAAACTAACAGCCTGTAGTTTATCGGCATCTTCTTAACATGCTTTTTTCTGTCAGCTCATTTTACTTTCCACATATTCATCTTCAGAGATATCTGGACTAGGTCTTCCTATCATATTTCACATTAGTGCAATATTTCTTTCCTGATCTTCAGAGTTCAATTAGACGTCCAGGGCACATTGCATGTATGCTACATATTTGAAATGAGAATTAATCTAAACTATGCTCCATATTCTGAGTTTTGCAGCTCCATCACAATGAACCAGATGTACGGGGAACCTCCAATAATGAACCAGGATCGAGCAGGACTGTGGAGGTGGGCATCGATCTCAAGGTTTACTCAATCATGGTCGAGAATCTTTGAAAGAAGCCATCTGCTTTTAGAGGTATGGACATGTTATCATGTAGAGATCTTGTTTAATACCATTTTGTGATTAGGGGAAGGAAGTCAATGATTATTGCCAGAAAAAAAGGGTTTGATAATAACTGCTTTTGCCATGCATCTCCAACAATGAAGTGGGTAGAGGTGGGAGGGAGCTTCCATTTTTAACATAATCCTTTGTACTTTCTTTTAGTCAGCAAATACAATTTTTGAATTAACTGATCAGTACCATCCAAATGTGGTTGATGTGTGCAGATGTCGTGTGAAGAGTGCAGTCATTATCTTGAGATAGCAGAAACAATTAGAAGCTTGGGTCTGACAATCTTAAGAGGTGTTGCCTAAGCATAAGGTGAGAAGATATGGATATGCTTCGTGGTTGATCTTGATATCTGAATGATATGTTTGCTCAAGAATGAAATCCATTAATATTGGTTGCATTCTGTTATTTCTGGTCACACTCATCAATTATTGTTTGGATAATTGCAGGGGCAAAATAACAATAAGCATCCACAGAATGGATGTCTTGGGGTCACTTGCAAATATTGCAAACCAAGACTTCAGCTTGAAACACAACTTGCAGCCCTTGGCCTTAATCCAGTAGATACTCTGTAATATGTGCATGTAAGTCATCCGTGACATGGATTGGTCCAATTCTAGTTTGACCTTTGTGTTTTGTTTCTCCTTGGCATTGGGGAGGAATCCTTGTTTTCCTGGTGAGTTCATTTGTGAAGATGAGTGTTGACCCTGTTACAACAATGAGCTAACGTGAATGGGGTTTAAGTTTCAAGTTTTCTTGCTTCACTCCGCTGTTTGCTGCTATATGCCGTTGCACTGAGGGTGGATTAGCAAGATTCGTGCATTTGCTCCTCGGTACCTTCTCCAACAAGTACCAAATGGCAAGAACTTAAAATACACGCATTTTATAGTTATGCCGGAAATAAGTTCACTCTCTTTTCTGTTCATGGTACATTGGGCACATTTGTGGATGATGTGCACATAACGGTGCATTGAATGGTGTCCAAGGATGACTTGCCCGTGATTTGTCTCCTGAACACGATTATATATTTACTCTGTGTTCTGTTCTCACCCCAGGAGAAGAATTTTTGGGGTGAAAATAGTCTGTGGATGGTATGAAGGGAAATGACGACCTCGCATTTTGTAGGCAATCAGAAAATCATGGGCAATACCTCAGATAAACATATGGTCATTTTCCAATGAAGAGTGGATGGTGAAACTTTCAAGGAAAAAGCACACATTTGGTTCATGAATTTGCACTCTTTTTCCAACGTCATTACCAAATTTGTCATGCAATTAAGTTCTTGAACTTGTAGAATTTGTCCAATTGAGTCAAACTTTCCTGACTCGGATGAATTGACATAAATTGTTGACAATAAATTTGTGCAGATCAAGTAGCAGAACAACCAAGCAAATGTTCAGTAGCTTTTCATTCTACGGTTCCATCATTTATTTCGACATCAAACTTCACTCTGGAATAGATTGACACCCTAGTTTCGAGTTGGAGGAGTTGGTAATAAAGAGACTTGATGGGTAAAAAAATTATTAAGTACAAGGACTACATTACAATTTTAGAATCACTAAATAAAATTACAATGACAAGATGTACACTTTTTTTGCAATATTTAATATTAATTACGACGAATCTTCCTTCGCATCTGAAACTCGAGGTGCTTGAAGATGTAACTACAGTTTGAGGGACGCTAATAAGCGCCAAAACCTAATGCTAATCAATTGAAGAACATAGTGACACTCCACTTTGCATCAGAAGAATTAACTTTGACACTGATTTGTTTTGGACGAGTAAGATTTTATTGCACAAAGCAAAACAGATAGTTACAAAGTCCTACCACAAACTCATATACATGATATAACCACTCATGACACTCTCATTCAGGATTTTCCACAACTCTGCTCTATTTGGAGTCGCTTATCCTGAAATGAGGAAGTGTTGAATTGGCCCTTTGGCCATGGGATCTGAAACAGGTGACGTATTCTGAAAGAGAGGTTTCTTTGTATATGGGTGGATTATTTTCAGAGAGAAGCTCCTTTATTGGCCCAAGGGGTTTGGTTTTTTCCGTCCTGCTTGGGGAGAGAAAGCACGCGACTGAAACACGGGGTCCGACCCGCCCGGCAAGTACTCGGTGCTCCACGCTTTTGAACTTGTTGTTGGTAACAAGCTGCAACCACCGTATTAGGCAAGAAAAGGAAGTTATGACTTCAAAAGATGGGGTAAAGATGAATGCCACGAGCCAGGCATAGAAGGCAGTGTGTTTTCATTTCCTCCTCTAATTAGTGCATGGCACGACTGTTTAAGATCAAGAGTTGAAATGAAGTCGTTCCTCGCAACATGGTTACGTTTTTTTCACTTGAGATTCTTCTCAAAGCGTTCAGGGTATCATGCAAAGTTCGTACTACATTCCATTGGACGCTCAGACATTTTGTCTAGACTCATTATATAGTTGATCTGATGAAGGGCGATCAATCGACTCCGGCTAGACATATCTCGGGGTCAATTTTGTATTTGCAATATAGGTCAGAAAACATAAGGTCCGAAAAAAGTTGGAACTTTATTTACCTGCATGTAGTCTCCAATGTTGGCTTGTAGTGCTCCATGCACGGGAACCACATCAACCCAGTGGTTTTCATGTAGGACTTGGAGGCCACCATGGTGGTCTTGAAGGAGAAGAGTGAGATACGTCATGTCCGTGTGATTAACCGTGCCGAGAGTCAATTCTGGTTCAGGACAAGCTGGGTAGTAATGGCCTATTACCATCTCCGATTTCATACGCTCAGTGCCACTGAGATAATCAGAAGCAAGGCCCAATGCCTCCGATAATAGTTCAGCTAATGATGTCTTCAGTTCCGCCATATGTTTCTCGTACTCGAAAACTGCCTCTCTGCAAACGAGTACATGAAAGCACTGTGGGTGAGTTTTCAGAATCAAGGTTTGTAGCAAAGAGTACGTTCCTTTCTCATCGAAAGAAATGCATATTCGACTTGTGGAACGCCTTTGCACTCCCTCGATTATTACCAAGTTTGTTAAAGGGTACTCAAAAACCAGGCTTTGAACCGTATAGAAATGCATTACACTGAATGATCCGCTTTACACGGTTTGGGGTTTTTGAAAATACAGAGTATGTTAAATTGAACCTAAACCTGTCCCCTTAGTAAAGTGAAAATGGTCAAAACTGTTCACATCTCACGTAGCAACTCCAACTTTAGCTTTCATAAGTGATGCATATACCTGCAAATAGGAGGAACAGCCTCTGGGTCTAAATCACCATCCTGGAAATCGAATAGGACAGTGTCCTTCCAAGTCGCTGCTTTAAACATGAACAAGTCTCCATTGGAAAAGTACCTCACTCTCTTCGAACCGTCTCTAGAGTACAACTCTTTCTTAACTTCCACTCGTTGCTCGTGGAACTTCTTCACACCCTCCAACATGTTGTCCGCCACGTCGAGCGGAACCCCGTGATTGATAATCTGAAAGAAACCCCACGCTTCCGATGCTTCGCGAATACCGTCGATGACATCTTGCCGCCGAGAATCCCGATAGCCTCTTAGATCGACGATCGGGACCCGGAGGCTGGTGCCGTCCGCGTTGGATGACAGGCGGCGCAAGTTCTCGTGCGGGTGGATGAAGATCCTGGGGATCTTGGTCACGCCAGAATCCACGAGGCCTTTGACTCCAGCCTTGGTCTCGTCGAATTCCTGCATTTCTTTCACCCTACTGTCGTAATCCGGGTCGCAAGAAGTGACAAGTTGTCCATGACTGGGCAAGGTCTGCATCATCTTGTAGAAACAAAGTTTGAAGTCTCAATTGAGATTAAATGAATTTGAGCCATGATCAATGGGAGGCTGTGACCATGTGAATGATATCGTCGAGAGTGCCTAAGATTCACCAACCACGAGGCTGTAACATTTATAATACGGGACAGGGACAGCGTGTAACAGTTGGTGTTTAACAATAAAAAAAGAAAAAAAAATGAAAGTTGACTGGTCAAAAAGATGGGCTTAATAAAAAGAAAAGAAAGATATAAATGAGGGAACGTATAAAAAGAAAGAGATAAGAAAGGGAAAAAAAAAAAACAAAAAAGGGGTTGTCGAGTATATACGCTTTGCAGACCTCGATCACTTATTAATGTCGTTTCGTAGTACCCGGTGAGGGTCGTACTCTTTTTTCATCTAATAGGAGGAATTTTCAAAGTTGCGTCATAAATTCGGATCCATGTGAATCCTGAATTTCTGGATTCAAATTTATGAATTATTAAGCTGTGAAATTATGTGAAAATGATAATTTAGGATATTGTCGGGCCGTGAAATTTACATAAGTAGATTTCAAGTTACGGTTTGATCGAAACGAATTTGTCCAGTTTTGGGCGCATTGATGTCCAGTCTCGAATTTCTATTTTTTTCAATTATTTTCGCTCGGGTTCAGTCACCTTTTGAATCAGTGAAACTTAGGATCTTTCAGTATATCGAAAGAGCTTTTTTTTTTTTTATAGTAAGCCCACTAAAATTGGAGTTCAGTAGAGAGATATGGCATGAGAAAGTATGGCGAGAGGCCGTTCTTCGCTCGAGTGGTTGTTCTTCATGTTCGTAGTTCTTCATCGTGTTTGGCCAATCTTGAAGTCTTTTTTCGACCCATAGGAGTGTTTTGACTCCAAAATAATGTTTGCCTAGTTGAGTCTTAGTTAAGATGTATATTTACTTGAGTTTTGGTATCGCTTCTCATTTAGATGATAGGATTTCAAGTTCGTCGACTTGAAATAACTTTCGTGGTCACGTTTGTCACAAGGCGTTAAGCTTGACCATGGTTATGAGCGATCAAGAATGGACCATTCGTGTGTGATTTGATAGAGATTGGTCGATGGAATTACTCATTGATTTTGTATTGATATTGTTGATGGATCTTATACAAATAAACTTTTATTGAGATGATATAACTCGTTTTTGATGTTGTGCGTGTATTATATATTGGATTTGGGATGTTGTGTTCTAGTATTGATTATATATATACGGATAGTAGATACTCGATCTGCTTAGAATATATTTTGTACTACTCAATGGTTTGTGCTTGCTCATACCATACATCTTACATTTTTCAAGACCTCAATTGGCGGCAAATCGAAAGAGAGCACTATCCATGAGAAATTTTTAGTAATTGGATTTTAGGTATGGTCTGTGATAGTTGTGAACATTTCTAATGATAGTTGGTGGGTTTAGCTGAGTTCTGAGTTGTATATATTCTTTAGCCATGTAATGTAATCAACTTGTTGCTTATATATATTTTGATAGTAGGTTTATGTTGGTTTATATTTGAGGTTGCATCTTTCATCTTTCCAGTAGGAGGACAGCCGTGTTATTTCCCTATACTGTAGAAGCTGGGGTTAGTGACCAAATTGCCTAGACACTAGCAGGGGAGCTTTCTAGTCGAATGAAACACTCAATTAGGGCATTTTATCAAGAGAGTTAGTCCCGGGTAGACAAAGGTTGAACTTCATAGTTGGTATGAAACATAACGTGTCAGTATCCCAAGTGGACTTTGTATGAGTGGATCATATTCAAGCCAAACCTAATACGGGCTTACTGAAAAAACAACAAGATAAACTCAAAACCAACATGACTTGATAAATTTCGATCCAATTTTTTACCATAAACTATTTTCATTATCATCAAATAGTCTGGACAGCAGCAAGATGCATGAGACGAACGGTCGAATATGATTGGGAAAAGGATACTACAAATATCATAACTTTCGTAGGCGCTCACTTGAGTCCATAACTTTTTTTCAATCACCTAAGTATCATAACTTAGGTACAGCGCTCACTTGAATATCATAATTTGCCATATAACATTTCAATTACTCACTTGAATTCCGTAATCTTTTTAAAAACCTTCACCATAAGTACCATGCCGTGTCGGATTTCCGGCACTTGGATGAATGCTTTTAAAAAGTTATGGCACTCAAGTAATTAATTAAATTCAATAAAAAAAAGTAATCAATTGAAAATTATGACACTTGTAGGGTTTTTATTCCGAATATGGTGTCACGGTACGAATAACAGTCCTTAAATTTGCCATTAAAGAGATCGCCACATCAACTTGCTGAGCTCCAACGAATGAGATGTAAAGAGACGATGAAACTCGTTATACATTTAGAATTTACCTTAAAGTAGCAATTACTATCATAGTGAGGTGAAAGAGATTCGAATGTTTTCATAGCCTGAAGGGGCATGCAATCAAATTTTGGCTATTCCTTGTTTCAGTATTAGGCAATCAATGCAGACTCCAAATTAAAGGATAGAGATCATAAATCATGTGAAGGCCAACGCCTTAATTACAGCTTTCTACACAAGTTGAAGTCTCTAGTTGGACTCGCTTACCTTGAAATAAGGAAGTACAGGTTCACCATTCATACCATTGCCACTGGACATGTAATACCCATAATACTCTGTGAAAGAGGTCTCTCTGTACATGGGTGGATTGTCCTCGTCGAGAAGCTCCTCTATCGGCCCGTACCGCTTCGACTTCTGCTTCCCCCCCGGGAAGAGGAAGCACGCGACCGAGACCCGGGGTCCGGTCCTCCTGACGAGGACCCGGTGCTCCGCACTCTTGAACTTGTCGTTGCTAACAAGCTGCAATCAACAGATCAGGCAAAAAGAAAATCATTCTTTGTCTCGACGATGACTCAACCTTAATCGACCCGGAAACACAAGTGACAAATGTGAATGATCTTTGTACCCGCATGAGGTCTCCAATGTTGGCCAGGATTGCTCCAGGCACTGGGGACACATCAACCCACCGGTCTTGGTGGCGGACTTGGAGGCCTCCATGGTGGTTTTGCAGGAGAAGAGTGAGAAATGTGGCATCTGAGTGATTGATTGTGCCCAGAGTCAGCTCTGGCTCAGGGCAAGTTGGGTAGTAATGGTTTACGATTCTGTTGGATTCCATGCATCCAATGTCACCAAGATAGCCTGAATCAAGCCCTAATGCCTCTGATAGTAGTTCAGACAGAGATCTCTTCAACTTTTCAGTGTGTTTTTCGTACTCGAAGACCGGCTCTCTGCAAAGGAGTGAAAGAAAGCATCATGTGGAAAGAATATTTGTAGCCTATGCGCATAGAGAAGGGAAAGTAATGAACAGATAAAAGAGGTGTGAAGCATCGAACTTGAGATTTCTCGCCCTGATACCATATTGAACTTATTCGGAAAACTGTTTTCTATCCCTTTTAAAGTAAAATAGAAACACGGTACATATTTTTGCACAAATTGTCGTAGTCTTAGGTGAAGGAATAGAGTATCAATGATGATTATGACCTGCATAGAAGAGGAACTGCCTCTGGGTCTAGCTCTCCAGACGGGAAATCAAAGAAGAGACTGTCCTTCCAAGTTGCTGCTTTGGACAAAAACAAGTCTCCATTGCTGTAGTACCTAAATTTCTTCGCATCGTCTCTGGAGTACCACTCTCTCTTCACACCCTCAGGCTGCTCGTGGAACTGCTTGACAGCTTCCAACACGCCGTCCATCACGTGGACCGGGATCCCGTGGTTGATTACCTGGAAGAACCCCCACGTCTCCGATGCTCTACGGAGGTGGTCGACCACATCTCGCCGCCGGGAATCTCGATAGCCCATCATGTCGACGATAGGGACCTTGAGGCCAGTGGCGGCCCCATCCGTGTCGGAGGACAAGTCGCGCAGGTTCTGGGGTGGGTGGATGAAGAGCCTAGGGACCTTGGCCACGCCCGAGTCAATGAGGCCTTTGACGCCGGCTTTGGTCTCGTCGAATTCCTTTGCTTCTTTCGCTCTGTCATAGTGCGGTCCGCTATAGGTGACGGATTCACCAGGACTGGGCAAGGTTTGCATCTTTGTAAGGAGAAGCTTTGAAGCTCGTTAAGGCGATTGAATTGTTCCCTTTTCGTGAGGCTATATGACCATTTCTGTTCTGCAGATACAAGGAGAGGTAGTAGGTCCCGAGTCGGCGTCCCATCGCGTCAGATCCAAAGGGAACCTTATCGCCATATAGTGATCAAGCGTCTGGATTTGAGTCTCTAGTCAATTGAAGCATCCAACTTGCGCAAATGCTGATGACCATGGCCTAGGCAATAATGTAAGGGGAGTGTTATTTTGCTCTCGAGCATTTATCACGTGCATTGACTTTGTATCAGTAATGTAAGAACAAATCGCTAAGATCGATGGAGGGGCCTAACAAAAAGCGACTTTCACCTAAACAATTGCGGCACGTGACGAGAAATATCGAAAATCTAATTCCGAAATGAACCTACTCCTAAAGAAAATATTTCGCAAAGCAATTATACATGCGCAGATTAAAGAAATTCATCCCTACCGGGCTCGAACATACACGAGAGAGCGTAGCCCTAACGCAAAGGACCAAAACCAAAAAGAAGGTTGAAGCCGGTAGGTCACAACATTAGTGGCAGCGCAGGTAGCTTCTTCGGACCTACTTATACCAATGACTTTTGAAACAGCTCTTGGCACATTTATCCAATAAGGCCTCACAATCAGAGACAGCTGCTACAGTTGCTCAGCTCGTGAATCACGGCCTCCATGGATGGCCTGTCGTAAGGAGACTCGTTAGTGCAAAGCGAGGCGATTCTCGCAAGTTTAACCGCCTCGTACTCGAAGAACCTTCCGTGGATATTCGCATCGATGAATTCCTGGAATCTGCACGATTCAGCAGCCAGACGCATGGAGTGATCAACTTCCTGCTTCCCCGACAAAATCTGGAACACAATCATTCCAAACGCGTAGACATCGCTCTTCTCCGTGAACCGGCCCGTGGACATGTACTCAGGCGCTAGGTAGCCCATGGCAGCGCTAGCTTTGAGCAACGAGAACACGACATCGTTCGTGAGAAGCCTGTGGAGACCAGAGTGGCAGAGCAACGGATTGTATCGCTGGTCAATGAGCACCTTGTCTGCCGAGATGTTTTGGTGAAGGAGGGGGGCCTTCTTTGGTTTGTGAGAATGCAAATAGGCAATACCTGTTTCATAAGATCATTCGAAAATCAACAAAATCAGAGGTTACACCTTGCAAGCGGAAGACCATGAAGATCATTTGATCCCCGATTCAAAGAAAGATAAACAATATAATCAGATGCCACGTTATGCTATTTGAGCACCGCAATCATTACCCATATTAGTACATGACAGAGCAGCGACCAGGCAGAATTTATAATGCAGCAAATTCAACAGTAGCAGGTTTTCTCAAAATGATGGATGTCCTGGACCACCTAAATTTGTTCCTCCATAATGACTTGGTATGCTATTATTAATTGCATGGCCTTCTAGGTGGTTACTGCTCACTAGCGGTCCAAAGCACTGTCACTGATGCATCAGAAGAAATTAGAACTAGAGTTATTATTTTGAAGGTTCTTACTTGCACTTAAAATGCTGACGAGTGCATTTAAAGCGCTTATTGAGCTACAATAAATGTCCTTTAGGAAATTTAAACAAGTGATCTTTTTGAATGTTCAAATTTCTTGCCACACGTGTAACCAGTACACTTTACTCAATTTCAAGATCTTGGAACTACAAGCATTCTTTATAAGCGGTGCTTAAAATGTGTCTTCAAGCACCCATCAACAATAGCCTACCAAGGTTACAGATAGCTCTCTAGTATCTGATAAAATCCATAACTCAATTCAAGTTCCAAAATCCAACAAAAGGATTATGCAGAAAGGGCAACTTAGAAGGCAATAGCTAGCAGCAACAAGAGTTATCAAACTTGAGCCTTGGAAAGATTATGGGACAAGGATTTAAATTTATTAGATAGCCATTCAGATGAAACAAGAAGGAAATTATCAGTCAGTAGCACTGACCTTTAGCGATTCCCTTCACAATCGAAACTCTAGCGGACCACTCAAGGGTGCCACTGTCGCCCTCCTTCAAATCCAAAAAGCTTAGCAGAGTCCCATTCGGAACATAATCATATATCAGGAAGCACTCGCCACGGCCCCTTGAGCAGCAGAATCCTCTCAGCCTCACCAGATTTTCATGTCTCAGCGAGGTCAACATATTCAAACCCTTCAAGAACTCAGATTCGTCAGCCTTGCAGCTAGTCTTATTGATGCATTTGATGGCGACTACAGAACCGTCTCTCAGTATTCCTCTGTATGTGGTAGAGAAGTTACTCTTACCCAACACATTCAACTCCGAGAAATACTGACTGGCGGATTCCACCTCTTCCAGATTGAATCTGAAGCTCTGGAAAGCTTCTTCAGAAAACTCATTAACGATCCGAGCATCAGCAAGCGGATCCCATCCAATTGAATACTCCAGGCTGGCTAAAGGAGAGCCATTTTTTTTATAAGCACTCTTGGGCTGATCAGTACTTACATGGCCATCAGAAGCCTCGGCCGAAAAGCCAAGTTTCTGTTTCCTCCGACGGTAGTGTGTGAACGTAAGAATCCCTATGGCTGACAATGCAACAGTTGCCAAGATTGATCCAATAAGCGCAGAGTAATGTGCTGATTTTGGCAAACCAGAACATTCAGTCAGGTTACATGGTAACACCACATTGGCTGTCTCGGGTATACCTGTGGAGGGTACTCTTGTCGCAGCCCCAAATGGTTGGGGTCGACTCTCCAAAGCATTACAAGTCCTTAAAGAGAGGAACCCAGTCCCACACAAGTCGACGTTGTTTTCGTACAGAAACCCTTCGTTCAGTCTCTTCAGCGCTTTAATATTCGAAAAAGAAACAACAATCAGGTGTGGATGATACTTATTCCTAAAAGCAAGAGATTGAAGAGAGATCACAGAAGAATAGTTACCAGGAGGTACATTGCCAGATAGAGTGTTGTTTTGGACATCCAAGACTTCTAGAAGAGGCAGATCGGCTATCCTCGTGGGAATCGAGCCGAAGAGGCGATTGGAGCTCAAATATAACCTCATCAACGTCCCCAGGTCACCTAAACTTGCCGGTATTGCACCAGTGAGCTGATTAGATTGCAGAGCAAGAACACTGAGCTTCTTCAGAGCTCCCAGCTGTGTAGGTACACTTCCAGTCAACTGGTTGTAAGAGAGCTGCATAACTACAACGCAAGGAACAAACTTTAGGACCAAAATATTTGACATCGTAAATGAAAACTTTCAACTCAATGAACCATAATTTCCAAAAGTAAAATTCTGCAACTTTATGTCCATTTAGCCTACATCAAACCCTGTGAAGTTGAATCAAAGAACAGAGGAAGCAACTTCCCTAACCGCTAGTCACCATCTGGTTGTTTAAAGCACAAAGGTTGTAGCTTTAAGTTTTTGTTTCAACCTTTTTTATTCTCCGGACTTGACCCAGATGGATTTAGTCAGAAAGAACGGATTTTTCAATCAAATTTTCTTGGCAAACCAAAAAACACTGGAGACAAGTTTCTTTACACACTGAAAACTTAGAAATGAATAAAATGTATGAACATCAAAGCAAAATAATCTCCAAAAGAAACTAGAAAGTTTCAAAATTTTCAACATGCATTTCAAACAAAACCAAGAAAAGGACTAACCTTGCAAGCTTCCCATGTCAGCCATCTCAGGAGGAATCTGGCCAGAGAGATTGTTCATGTTCAGATACAAGTCGCTGAGCTCGCTCAAGTTGCCTATCTCTCGCGGAATCTCTCCGCACAGGGAGTTGTAGTGAATGTAAAGGCCAGTCAAGTGGGTGAGCCCAGCAATGGCCGGAGAGAGCCTCCCAGTGAGCCCTCTCCCCTGCAGCGAAATGTTGGCGACGAGGCCCTTGTCGTCGCAACCGACGCCTTGGAAGGACCCATCGCAAGGATCGCCATTGACGGTCCACGAGGAAAGGTACTTGCTTTCTGGGTCTAGGCTCGCTTTCATGTCCATGAGAGCTCTCAGCTCCGCGCTCGTTGCGGAGACAAGCACGTTGCTTTGGCTCGCGAGGAAGCTGAACACCCAGAGGAAGAAGAAGAAGAAGAGACACTGCGAGGAAGCGAGACCCATCTCTCTCTCCCTCCCTCCCTCTCTCTCTCTCTCTCTCTCTCTCTCGGACAAAAAGAACAAGAAGGTGGTGGTGGGTGACTGGTATGGACCGTGACTGAGTGATGTTTTTTCAGGTTTCGTTTCTTAAATCCTTACTTGCTTTTTCTGTTTTGCTCGTCTTGCCGTGAAGAAACAAGAAATATCAAAAATTCGAGCAAAGAAATGGAAAGAATTGCTTTGGAACTTGGGACTAGGGGGGATGGATGTTATTAGATCGGTTGACTTTTCTTTTTCAAATGGGAGTCCGTAGGCTCGCAGGCTTCATGCAGGTTCGTTCTGTCGATGCGTTTCCTCCTCCACAAGACAGATGATAATGTTCTCGTCTTAAATTTCAGTAACTTGTGTTAGACCGAATACAAAACAAAAATTCAGTTACTAGCGTCTTTAACGTATCGCCTTAGAAAAGTTTTTCGAACATTTATTCGATCCAACAGCTACCAATTCGAAAGTTAGCAACTTTATCGATTTTGATCGTCTAAAAGTAAACCAACCGATGAGTTTGAGAGCCTGATCATTACAAATCCTACTGATATCTTGGCCATTCAAAAAGGGTGCTCAGGATTATGTTTTTTTTTTTTTCCAGCAGATCTGATTGGAACCTTAGCTCCGTTGTTGTCTGGTTTCAAATCACGGTGGCCTGCCTTCCTGATCATTGAAAAGGGCATAGGATTCCTCACCTGGGACAAGGCAAGAAACATAAGCATGGAGTGGCTATTATTAAGGCCGATTTGACTTGGGACATTATTGATTGTACGTGGTAATTGTTTTTGGGGCATTTTGATTTTGCTCGGGCTGGTTGGTCACCATGGCTTTGCCGGGGGAGTAAATGATCCCTGGTGAGAGGACTTTGGAAGGTGGGATCATGATTCATGAGCAAGCTGTACAAGACCAGTGTGTTTATTCCCCCCCTTTTTAATGGTCGAAAGCGAAATCCAGTCAGTGGTAGGCCTAAAATGGAGTCGACATTCGCAATGTTTGTGCATATCTCTCTCTCTCTCTATGGACAATGGTAAAAGTTAACTTACAATCATCCTTTATTTTTGGCTTGTGATCTTTCACTTTTAGCGCTCCGCTATGGTCGAATGGAAATGAATAAGTGGCCCCGGGATCAAGAGGGGTTTTTTTTTTCGACCTCCGAGGAAACTAGCCCCGTGTTTTGCATTTGATTTAACATTCGATTCTTAGTTTGAACTTCCATGTCGTCAGTTCCTCGAAATCACTCCTAACTCCGAATGATGGTAATTTGGGACAATATGATAATAACTTGATTTGATAGAAATGTTGATCCCGGTGCAATCGGTAGGAGATTAGGCAACTATTAGCAAACACTGAACAAACCAAGGATTTAAAATAGAGATAAATCATTCGGTTGGTCCAAATTCTAAAATCTGGTTTATTGTATCGTCCAAACCTATTCATAAAAAAATTTGTTAAGCATTCAAGGCAGATTTGGCTTGGCATGGATGGGTGCCAAAGTGGGGCGGGTTGAGTTTTCTCAAACAAGAACGTTGCTTAAGCCATCAATTTGACATTGTAGCCTCTCGGGTCTAGGCAGGCCAAGCAACCCGTCCCCCAGTCCATAACTTCTAACAATGAAATACTCTCGGTAACACTAGAAATTCGAATTTACTCGACGTCGAAAATTCAACACCTTGGAAAATTTTATTTGCATTTGACATGTACACCCATTTCGAGTGTTTCATGGCTATTTCAAAATTTGAATATTATTTCCTATTTCATTAATTTTGGAAGGAAAGTAAAATTAGGGTCTGTTTAGTAATGTTTATGTTCTCAGAAATAATTTATGTTTAAAAATAGTTTTTTCTATTTCTATTCCCTAGACAAGTTTCTGAGCCAAAAAACCCATTTAATAACTACACGAAATTTCTATTCTCGGAGTAAAAAAAGAACATAAATGTGTTTGGTAGGACGCCAAAAATTTTTACTCCCGATTTTTTCATTCAATTATAAAATTGTTGGTGGAGACTTAACAATTCATGTTTGGATAAAATTGAACTAAAAATAGAATAAAAATACATTATGATATAGAATAGGATTACCTTAATACGATCATAAAGAAAATTACTTCTTATAGACAAAGCAAATATCTGGTGGTGATCGAGGAAATTACAGTTTAAGGGACTTAACAATTCATGTTTGGATCAAATTGGACTAGAAATAGAATAATAATATATTATGATATAGAATTGGATGACCTTAATACAATCATAAAGAAACTTACTCCTTATAAACAAAGTAAATACTAGGTGATGGTCGAGGAAATTGCAATTTAAGATGTAGGATTTTAGGGTTAGGAGTAAGGGTTTTAGGATTTCGATTTTGAGGTTTAGGGTTTTGGATTTTAGGGTTTGGGGTTTAGGTTTTAGAGTTTCAGGTTTAAGGGTTTGGGTTTGGGTTTAAGGTTTGAGGTTTAGGGTTTAGGGATTCAGGTTTTGGGTATAGGGTTTGGGATTTAGGGTTTAAGGTGTACAGTATAGGGTTTGGGGTTTAGGTTCGAGGTTTTACGGTTTAGCATTTTAGGATTTAGGGTTTGGAATTACGATTTTAAAGTTTAGGTTTTAGGGTTTCGGGTTTGGAGTTTTGGGGTTTAGGGTTTAGTGTTTTGGGTTTTGGGTTTGGGATTTTAGGGTTTGGATTTATGATTTTGGGTTTCGAGTTTTAGCATTAAGGATTTTGGGTTTTTGATTTTAGGATTTGGGTATTGAGGTTTAAGATTTTGGGTTTTTGATTTTAGGATTTGGGTATTGAGGTTTAAGATTTTGGGGTTTGAGGGTTAAGGTTTAGGGTTTGAGGATTAAGGTTTAGGGTTTAGGATTTGAGATTTGGGGTTTAGGGTTTAGTATGAGAATATCTTGTGAAAGAGAGAAAGCTGATTTTGTTTCTCTATTGTTTTTCTATTGTTTTTCTTTTTGTTCTAGAAACTAAAAAAGTAGATATTCTTATTTTTTATTTTGTTCCAAATCTATTCCCTGATCACTTTTCTGTTTTGGAGAACGCAAAATATTTAAATATTTTCTCAATAAAATATATTATTAATAAAAAATATTTTATATTTATAAAAAAATTATTTTTTAATAAAAAAAATATTTTAAGTAAAATGTAGATATTTTCATAGTGAGTAGAACCAGGCCATAGCCAAAAAAAGAAAAAATATATTTTCATAATAAAAATTATAATTTTTCTGCTTAGCCCGGCCACGTATGTCATTGACGGTAAAAAAATAAAAATGTATATTTTTAATAAAAAATTTTAATAAAAAAATTATTAATAAAAAAATATTTTACCAGGCCATGGCCGATGGCGAGCCATATTAAAAAATAAAAATATATATTTTTAATAAAAATAAAAATTAGTACTGAGGCCATAAAAAATATTTTTAATAAAAATATATTTTATTAATAAAAATTATTAATAAAAAAATGACTGTTTACGGCCCGAAAAAAGCTATGGCCAAAAAAAATATTTTTAATAAAAATATTTTTTTATTTCTTAAAATAAAAAAATAAAAAAATAGAAACGTTACTAAATATGCTCTTAGAATACTATTTGTCCGGATGGAAGAGGGCAAAAGAATAAAGTCGAAAATGGTTTGGAAAAACCCTGAAGAAAATAAAGAACTGTCCACTGACAAGCTGACAAAAAGGCGCTTGTACTGGTTGCCACGTGGCTGCGTGTGAGTGGCCACTCACCGCAACCGGGTCAGGCGCGTGTTAATTATGGCCACCGGAGATTCCCTCGCCATCTCCATTCTCAAGGCATTTTCAAACAATCGAAAATGGTGGGAAATCAGATAATGCAAATTGACTACTTAAATCAAGAATATCTGACCAAAAAAAAAAAGGAATAAGGATAACTAATTTTGTTGTAGGTCGATTTTTTCTCGTAACAATTAAAAAAAAAATCATGTTAAATCGTATATCATTTTGATTATGCATGCTTGTTGAACTTAAATTTGCTTAAATCTTTATAAATCATAATAGTGTTTCCATTATTTGCATCTCTCCGATCGATTATAGCTTCACACATATTAGGGCTGTCGATGAATGTCCAACTCCTCTCGTTTTGTTTACTTGACATGAACGTATCTTTGATGATGCAATAGTATTATGGATTTGTGTGGTTTAAATCTTACCATACACATTTATTTATATCCTGTGTATTCTAATTTTATTATATCAAATGCTACTTGTTTCCCATCGTATCCTTGAATCTTATGTAGTCGAGTTTTCAGAATTAGAGAAGTTAGCATTTTGTTTTGAGTTGATACCATTAAAAATTTCAATTTGGTACCGCATGATATGTTTATCTCAAATTAATTTTCGTCTTACAAAAAATTTGAAATTTAATGCATTTTGTTACGTATTTACCTCAAACTAATTTTTGTCTCGCGGTTACTCACAAGTTTGTACCTTTAACGTAAATTTACTCTTCGTTAAAATGCATACGTGGATTTTCTACATTGAATCTGTCATTCTCTGAGTCAAATCCGTCTTAAAGACATTTTAACGGGATATTGGACGGAATGTTATTGAATGATACGTACATTTAAGTCAATAGTATTAGTTTGAGTTTTTTTATGAGACGAAAATCAGTTTGGGATAAATGTACTAGAGACATACCAGATTGAAAATTTTAAATGGTATTAACTTTCTCGTAAAAAGGTTAGCGTTCAATATTTTCCTTCGATTTTACTCCAAATTTCTGCATCGAGGTTGGGGACCTCGCACGGCTCGAGCAATCACACAAAAATCCAAATAAAACAAGGACCACACTACAATTGTTTACTGATAAAAATTATTCTCATCTCTCCCGCCCAAGGAATCGGATAATCGATCTATTATTAAATAATTGAACCATAATTTGACGTCAAAAGAACGTCTAGAAAACGGGGAAGAGAGATTGGAGTTGTATTGACTACTGAGATTTTTCTCATCAGAGCTCTGCTTAAGTTTCATAACTAAACGACGCCATGAAATTAAGGTTTCATGTTCCTTCATCCTCAAAAGCACAAAAGAACAAAAGAACCAGTTGGTGAAGAAGAGGACAAGAAGAAAATGGTAATGGAGTTAAAAAGCAAATGATGGGTTCAGGTCAGAAGGAAGATCACGAGCAGCAGAATTGCTTCTCAAGCAAATTTCATCCACGTCTTGACCATGAAAACACCTTGTAATGTTCTTGTCTTTTCTATGCATGCAACTGAAGGAGGATGTGGACTTCTCTCCCTCTCCACTAGCAAGTAGCAACTCTCTTTTCTCTTGTTTTCTTTTTCCATGATTTTGTTAATTTCTCTGCCTATCCACTAAGGTAAACAAAACCGTTTTTAATTAAAAACATTTGTGAAGTTTTCCAAGGTTATGTTTTAGCTAAGTTGGTAACGTAGGATTCATCTTGAGAGAGGAGCCATTCGAAGCAGCAAACAAGACCTTGAAGAACAGAATGCACCTAGTTGGAGTCCACCAATGTAGAGTCAGAAAAAAAAATGGCCCTAAATTAGCTTCTCTCTCTTTCTTGGGTTAACAAAAAAATAAAAGACAAGTAAGAACCGACATCACCCTAAAAGAAGTTTTGTTGGATGGTTATGTTATCTTACAGTTTGATGCTTTTCATGGGTTTATAGAGATCTGGGGCATTGTAATCTTTGTCTAAAACCATCTTTACGAAAGATTATTAGGTGTTTAAATATATATTAGCCCATTTTAACGATTCCCTTGAAAAACTAACATAGATCGAGATTACCCAGCTGTTCCTTTTCAGGCCAGCAGATTAAAAAATAAGTTTACTTCTGCGCCATCGAATTGGATTCTCTCTCTGCTCTCATGCTCCTTTTAGGGTTTCCACCATCCAAGGTATAATAAGGAGGACTGCAAAAGGCAAGAGGACAAAGAGAAACCCAAAAAAGAAGAGGAACTATTCCTAGAGTCCCCCACTTTCGAAGCCCTTTTCCTGAAACTCCTTTTGTAGAGAGCAAGGCAATGTCCCTGTCCACAATAGACTTTGCCACGAGGGAACCGCTTTTCAATGTGCTGTTGTTTGCATGCATGGGCACATCTCGGATTCCCCACCTTTCTCTTTTCTTTTCTTCATTTTGAAAAATGTACATGAGCTTCCTCCTTTCACTCAAACAACCAATATGTATGTGCTGCATAAGCTTGCCAATGTTCTTATCGGTTGTTTGGTATAATTGCGATAATTTGTAATTGTGATGTGTTGTGGCTGTACCGTGAAGTTTATTGTAAAGTGCGTGTTTGGTTATATATGCCTCGGAGATGGAGCACCTCAAAGTTGTGCGAGACAACTCCTTAAAAGCCGCTATAAGTAGTTGTAGCTTTAAAAGTGATGCAGCTACAAGAGATCTACCAAGTTCCTTGTAAAAGTTACAACACCGTTTTCACATCTATAGCTACTTTGGAGAAATTGTACCAAACAGAAAATTTGACAAAAGAAGGGATACAAGATCACGTGTTCACAAACTCATGATCAATTTTAATATATCAAATACATAATTAATTGTCGGGGATGTAGAAAAGTAAATTGTTATTAATCTTAGACTTTGTTTGTTTCGCTGTAAAAGTGACATTTCTGAAAAATATTTCCATGAAAATGACTATGTTTTCCAGTATTTGGCTAAAATTTGAAAATAAACTAAAAGAATTTTCCACCATTTGGTATGTAATTGATTTTCCTCTACACTCTTTTTAACACTTTTCATTTTTATTTTTTTATTTTTATTTTTTATACATTTTTTATTTTTTTAAATCAAATTTTTAATTATTTCATTTTTCCTTTTCTTTTTCTCTTCTTTTTTTCTTTTCCTTCTTTTTCAGCTGATCGCCAACCACAGGTGAAGGACGAGCCTCACCAAATCGGCGAGCTTTGGGCGAGGCTCTTCCCTTGCTTGTGGTCGGTCATCGGCAGTCGCTGTGGCCGGCCGGCCATCAGTCAAGGAAGATGGAAAAAGAAAAAGAAAGAAAAGAAAAACATAAAAAATAAATAAATATTTAAATATTTTATTTTTAAAATAAAAAATAATTAAAAATTTGATTTTTTTTTTTTAACTATATGTTTATAAGAACAAATGTTTCATGAACTAATTAAGGACTCGAGCTTGAGCACCGAGGACCCGTGCTCGACTTTTGTGAGTCCGGGCTTATGTGCTGAGACTAGAGTTCGAGCATCACGGACCCAAGCATGACATTTACGAACCCGGGCTTGGGTGTCGCGACATCGAGCACGGGCACTAGGGCTTTCGGCCTAGCCTCAATGGACGGCGTCCACGCTGCTATCATGACAAGCGTCACCCATCCCTGAGATCTTCAATCATCCATGCGCAACCTTAAACAACAAAATTGTATACCAGAATATTTTCGATTATTACCCCGTGACAATTTACACGCTTAAACTGGAAAAAAAAAGTAATCGATCATTGAAATCTAAACCTCAAGGAGGGTCCTGTTTCGTTGCAGATCTTATTCTAAAAGTGGGCTTCTCAAAGCCTAAGTTTTAAGAAAGATTGAAATCAGCAACTCCGATGCACATAGCTATGCAATCCCCACATACGCCAACCCAAGAAATGCCTTATTAAACAGAAACAAACGACAAGCCTCTAACTTCAGGTGTCAGCAATGGTGACCTCAACCTCCACGCCTGGCTCGATAGTAATTGACGTGATCTGCTTAACCACCTGCTGAGAGCTGAAGAGGTCGATGACCCGTTTGTGAATGCGAAGCTCGAATCGATCCCACGTGTTGGTTCCTGATACGAATGCAATTGGGCAGACAAAAGTTCATTATACAGGATAATCTTTCCGAATTGCGATATTCGAACGAACCTATATGGGATCAGGCTAAAATGTTCGATCATTTCAGTACCTTCTCCACAAGGCGACTTCCTGGTGTTGATGCGAAGGACCTTGGTGGGGATCCTCACCGGCCCCTTGACCCGGAGATGCTTCTCCTTTGCACCGCGAATCAAATCAGAGCAAACTGTTGAAAGATCGATGTCCATGTCAGAATCCAAAATAAAAACGCGACTTGGAAGAAAATCAAGAATTTAAGCCTTTGCTAATACGATTTCCACTGAGGAGCATTTCTATCCAAAGAAAATGAAGTATAGCAGCAACTAAAAGCTTAATATTACATGAACTCAAGTATATGGATATCTCAAAAGAGCAAGCAGTAGCAACATATGGTGAAAAAGTTAACCACATCACGTACATGCCAATTGTAATGTTTAATATATTTCTTGAACCTAGCACGTATCATGTTGATTGTTGAAATTAGCAAGACTCGTCTGAGATGTGCCATCTTCAATGGTTTGGATACGTTCATGCCTCTAAAACCTTAACTGAATGTGACAATAGAACGCCATTCGAGATATGGTAGCATTTACACATGCACTCCACTTTAATTGCAATAACTTATAGGCATTTAAAGTCATATACACAATCTAGTCAAAGACACATCAGAACATAGTAAATCATTCATGTACTATATAAGCACAAGTATTTGTAAATATTAGTTTTTGTTCCTCACATTAAATAAGTCTCCTCGCATTATATAAGTCTACAATGAAAGGATTCTGGAGAAATAGTTATACAAACTACTCAAATTATACAGCTTCTAAGTAAAATAAAATAGTAACAATAACAAATTGACCTCGTTAACAAGTACCCTACGAAAGCTTGATAAGGACCCTAAAAAGAATAGAACATTTTTCACTTGATATTGAAATCCATTCAGAATTGAAATCAGATTATCTTTAGCATGTTAAAGTTTAAACAAAACTCTCAGAGGATATCAAGGCACTAATGGAACTCTTCAACAAGATTCACAATGAAACATGAGATATGAGAGAGAGGGGCCGGAAAAAAGACCTTTCTCGAGATTCTTAACATTCTTCGAAGTTAGAGTAATCCGGACCCTAAGAATCTCTTCCGCGGATTCCTCCAAGCCAGGCTTCGTCGGCTTCATGGGGTAATCCATCGTTGCTGAGCTATGTAAACGAAGTCAGATTGCATCAGCAAAAACAAAGAAACTGATGAAATGTAATCAAAGGGCTTGGACAATTCAGATAACCTTCTCCCTTCTCTACAGTAAGAACCCTAATATGACAACACTGTTTATGATCAAGGTGCGTATGTGATTGCGACGAAACTGGTGAGTTAGCTCGGGAATTGAGAATGCAATTACGTTACTTGGTCTATATTTCAAGATCATCAGGACGAACTCTACTTTAACGTGGATTCACCGATCAAGGCCTCGACATCAAATTCACAAATCACCATCACGTAAAACCCTTCTAAGCGAAAGACAGTGCACGTTTTAGAGAGAGAGAGAGAGAGAGAGGAGTACCTTCGTCGGAGAGATGGGAAGAGAAGCGGCAACTGGTGCTGAAGAAGAAGATCTTGTAAAATTTGACAGAGAAAAGAGGAGTTTATATACTTTTCAGGTTTTGTTCTTCGAGCTTACATGCATGTCTAGGGTTGCGGCTTGCGGAGTGCGAGCTAAACGGGTCTTGTAGAGTTCCTATTTTATTCTAATTTTAAATGATTTTCTCTTGGACTAACTTGGAAGTTATGCCACGCCCGAATTTAATTAAGGATACAAATCTCTTATCCGATGGCACATCTTTCGTAACCGCACACTTTATCTGCTTCAGATTTCCAAAACGCTCTCTTCAATTTAAAATTAAGTGGTGGCAAAAAAAAAAAACTAATAAACGATTAAGTGTATTTTCAAATGCAATTATCGGCATTTTATTCTTGCTTAATTTGGTTCGCAATTTGCCAAGATGAAATAGGCTCCTTTTAAGTTGGTTGGATTTTCAAAAGTAAGGACATTAACTAAGTAAAATGTGAGCGAGTCATTTAATAGATAAACTATGGTATTCACTTGTTCTCAATTTTATATAGTAAATTTAAGATTAGTGTATTTGCAAAGGAACCGTAAAAGGGTTAAAAAAGTTGGGTCACAATTAAATTCTTTCTGTCGCCTTTTCTTTGTGGGAAGGTAGAACAAGCTGCACTGCAATATGATTTCTTTTCATTCTTTTGGTTTGTAATTTTATTTTGATTCCAAAGTAATAATATCTATTTATTCAGTCAATCTCTTATATTGAACAGAACGAAATCACTTGAATAAAATCTTCTTCTTCTTTTTGTGGTAAAAGAGGCAAAAACCTAATACAAACTGATATCTTTTATTTTTTCAAACTTTTCTATTTAAATCTTAAATTTATCGGATTTATTAATTTCTTATAATTTTAAGTATATTGTGTATTAAAAGAGGGAAGCACAATAGGCCGCGCTTTAAACAAACTATTTCTTAAGTATATTTAAGTGCGAATCTCCCCATAGTATTAATTTGTTTGGTTTTTCCATTTTACATTTTGGTGGGGCTATTTTCACACATTTTTTTGGCTAAAGCACAACTTTTGAATGAACTGATCAAATTAACCCTCAATCACAATATTTAGTGCAATATTTGCTAACATACTTTCTATTATCTCTCCTTTGCGTGCCACATTTATCCAAGTTTCCAAAGAAAAAGATAAATAGTATATCTCCATTTCCCTTTTGAAATACAATGGTAATAGAAAATTTACAATAATCGTTTCACGAACTAGAAATGTGACTTAGTAGTAATAAAAAAAATACCTTTCTTCTATCACGATTTATTGATGGTATAATGATGTTCGTTTGACTTGTTAAGACACCGTTAATTTGTGTTTTTATCGAAGCCATACGCGATTTTGATGGGAGGTGAAACCTAGTTACAATTCTTTATATTCAAACTCACATTTCATCATAAAAAAGAAAAAAATTATTATCTATGGATATGTAGTGCATTGAATTATGGGATCGTGAACAATATTAGTGACTTTCTTCATGGTAGAACTATGAAAAAGCTTAGTCTCTATTTTTCGTTTTGCATTTTGTTGTTTTATCTTTTTTAGTTGTCATAAAATTAAGATTGGAAGGAGCAAACAAAATAAATTCTAAGTTGAGGAACGTGTGTTTTTATTTTTATTTTTTGCCTTTCCGAAAGAAGAAGTAAATCATTCTCTTCAAAAGAAAAAAAGCAGTAATTCATGACTAATTGTCTAAAAATTGTGTTATTAAACATCAATACACGCTTAACCGCAGTTGAAAGCCAGTTTAGCCAGTCAACTTAAACAGTGCGTTTTAGCAAAAAAGGTGTGGAAATAGCCCAAAACCTTTAGATGAATTTTAATTTACTTTCATGAAATATATCCAAAATGATGTATATTATTTTTAAATTACGCATTTCTTAGAGCAAATTCAATGTGAAAGTCACCCAATGGTGTCCTTTTTACGTACGATTGAGAAATTTAGAAAGAGTGGAATCGGTTTTCATTACGTGCTTCCAATTGGGCCTACTTGGGTGTACTAATGACATGTTGATTGGTGCAGAACGATAGGGAATTGTGGCCCGATGAAAGTTCCAATTAGCTCAGTTATCGAACTCGGACTTAGGTACTCACGTCCGAGCGCCATTGAAATAATTCTCCACGTTGAAACCACGAAACATTTCTTCGATTCTTTGTTTTGTAACCGTTATAACATTGATAAAGAGACCATAATTATAGGATCTTTCAAGTTTCCAATTAAGCTACAAACACATCATAAATCTGTACCCATTTGCTCAGCTAGCATCCTAAACTCTTGAAATTTAACTAATTTTGACCAGCATCTACATCTACAATTTCAGGCCAAAATCGATCGGAAAAATTACATTGGCCAATCACCAACAAGTTAATGACTAAATTGACCAAATTATAAAGCTTATAATTGAATTAACATCCAAACAATATATTTAGGACTTTTTGTACAGATTTAAATATTTTGCTTCTGGCCTAATTGTCCCGCAGAATTTAAATCGGTCAAAATCACTTAGCAAAGTCAAGATCAGCAACGACACAACCCATTGATGCAGAAATTGGATAAGAAACATGGCCAGGAACATCGAGTTGATCATTCCAATTAAGACGAGAGATGCGAAATGCCCTATCACAAGGTCGGGCTATCGAAGAAAAGTTCAAAATTCCTGATTTTGAGTTGGGGCGTCAAGAAGAGTCAATTTAATCATCATCCATTCTCGAGCTAGGTAATGAAGGAGAACTCTAAGAAAAGCTTATCCAGTCGAAATTGAAAAAAGAAACAGTAAACAAGAATCCTTCTGCATATCAAAAAGACTTCAAAATCGTCAAGACATAACTGGGATAACAAAGCTATATAATCCCTACATATCTCAACCACAATAAATCTCTCACGGACAACTCGTCGTAGCAAGTGACTTAAGAGTCTGCGATGGTGACCTCGACCTCCACACCTGGCTCAATAGTGATGGAGGTAATTTGCTTGACAACTTCCGGGGAGCTGAAGAGGTCAATGACCCGCTTGTGGACACGGAGCTCGAATCTATCCCAGGTGTTGGTTCCTGATCAATGCAAGAGGACATTCGAGTCCATTTAGAGCACATAACAAAAACTCAACCGAAACCACAATGCAGTTTGTGGAGATTTAACGGACTATAACACTGTTGAGACATTGACCATGATCAGCATTTATTCAGTTATCCGCTCAGATATATACTCATCAGCTATGAATAAACAACTTTCAAGGCCACATGAATCAAATATGGCAAACATGTGGACAGCCCCAAAATCCAAAAGGAAATTAGAAAACAAGTACTTTTCCGAACTCCAGATATGAATTTGCAAAAGAAGTACAGTATCAGCACCTATATTGCCGAGTGACAACCGCATGATAACTATTCATACAAATAAATCAGAGCAAAGCAGATCTACAGAGAACATATTTCGGTGGGCTATGTATCAGAAATCACACATATTCACTCACACATCACATGAAACTGACAAGGCATCGGACAAGAGTGTTCAATCAAATACCTTCTCCACAAGGTGACTTCCTAGTTGTGATGTGAAGAACCTTGGTGGGCATCCTCACCGGTCCCTTGACGCGAAGACGCTTGTCTTTTGCCCCACGCACCAGATCAGAGCACACTGATAAACAAAAGCATCACTTTTAGATGCATCATAACTTCAAACAGAAAAACACTATTTGCCTTTTCTATACTGGAATACTGAATATAGCATTGAAAATCTGAAAATTTAAGGTAACTCCAAGGAAAAGAAGTGGCAGCCCAAGCCTACTGCCATTTAGTGAAAAGTCAACAAATCCCACGGGTGCTAAAATGTAATGAGCAAATGAAATTTTCATTGAATTTGAATATACATGTTGTTCGATAAGGTAAAGTAGCTTGAGTTGATATTTTATAAGCAGTCTGCATGATTTGCAAGAGTTTCATGCATTTCCATCCAAATTTTTAGGACCACGTTGAAATCTGGGTATACTCAACAGTCAACACAACAAAAGCAGGAGAGTTAAGACTATCACGGCATTCAAAGCAGGGGTTCGCTGTGTAAACAAAAACATTAAAAGATAAATTTCTGTTCCACATTGTTTAGTCTAGAATGAACAGATTGTCGAACATCAGTACCAACATCAAACTAGTATCAATCAGCATTATTTTTGCCGAGTTACCGAGCAGAGAACAATTCATAAGAAAATAAAATGTAGAAGCAAAAAAGTTTAAAGAGACCTTTCTCAAGATTCTTAACATTCTTGGAGGACAGAGTAATCCTGATTTTGTGAATCTGCTCCTGGGGTTCCTCCAAACCCGGCTTCGTCGGCTTCATAGCATAAGCCATCTTCGCTCCTTTTGGTAACTTAACCCTACAAATCAAAATGAAGTTACATTACATTGAGGCAATAACATAAACTTAAACAGTTTTACTTCCCTTCCTTTCCCCCAACTCCACCCAACCAAACATTGAATAGATAGAATTTGACCGAAGTGAACAGAAACAATCTACGAGAAATAATTCCCTCCATTTGGGTAACAAGTGGGAAGCAAACTAATGCTAATATAAAGGAAACAATTCCCCTAAGCCCACAAATCGCTTCCTCCCAACTTAGGAGACAAATGAGCAGAAACTTCCCGTCTTTTCGTCTCCGACCTTCAGATCTCTTCAAAAGTGTGAAAAAAAGTACCCTTTTAGCCCATTAACTAGCTCAATAAGTGCAATTTCGCCCCTCTTCCTTCTTCTTCCCTCGTTTTCACCCTCACCTTAAAATTGCCCAAGCGCAGCGCGCGAGCACTAAACAGGAAGCTACGGGAAAAAAGAAAAAAAAGCTCGGCCATGCAAGCACCAGCCGCAGCGCAGCATAACGGCCCGCTCATCGCAGGCTAATATCAGAAACGCCGACGCAACCCAACCAGGGATCCCACACCACTCGCAAACCACAAGGAACCGCACCTTTCAAATCCAACCATCACCAAAACCCACAACAAGCGAAACCAAGAACTACCAAAACAAATGCCTCGGCACACCGAGCTAAAAGACACGAAAGCAAAACCAGAACGTCGAGAACGACGAGCAATCGCAGGAAGAGGTTACCTTCGATGGCTTCGAGAGAGGGAGGGGAGGGAGAAGGAGCAGCAGCGGCGACTGGCGAAGGAAAATGGAGGTGGGAGGACTCGGGGAGAGAGACGGCGATGGGTTTATATATGTCTAGGGTTTCGGTTTTCTCCCGTATGATGAGCAATCGGGGCGTTGTCCGTGCGACAGACTAGGGTTTGGTCCTAATGGGCCTGTGTCCGAACCTTTGGCGGGCCGGACTTTTAGCACAAGCCAATTAAAATGGCGGGACCCCCAAAAAATAAAAATAAAAACAAAAACAAACCTTGGAATTCTTTTTTTTTTTTTCTATATTTCTTTTTCTTCGATAAGTTAAAAAGGGTGAGGAATCGCAATCCCGCCCATCGCGCGAATCAAACTCATGATCTCTGGAAAGACTTGTGACTTCTCTACCATTAGGGCGATCAGCGATCGCTTTGGTGGTAGCATATACATGAGATTGGTGTAATTCTATGATTCCTGGTTCTCGAATTCGAGTCCATTTTTTGGACGTCATTTGCTTGTTGGTAAAGTTTATGTGCTTCAGATATATTTTACTTTCATGAGATAATTTTACATTTTCGATTATTAATTACTAAACATATATATTTTTTGTTTTTTTTTTCTAGTTTTACTTTTTATTTTAAATTGAATGAGATTGTTCTCATTTTTTCTTTCTTGTTTATATTCAATATAGACTATTTTATTTCAAATACACTACGTTATGTCTTTCTATTATCCGTTCTTGAATTTTAACTAAATTGAATATAAAACTTGTAAAATAAAAAAAATCAAGACATAAAAATAGAATAATGTGTGCAGTTGCTGCTCCAGCTGTAAGCGTTGATGATACATTGGTGCTATTTTTAAAAGGATAAATGTTGTGAAAGTGTTTCCATGGATTACGAGGACAATGATTAGACAACTTTTAAGAGTGACGGGACAAAGATAAAAGTCTAATTTCATTAGTAGTTTAGGGAGGGTCTATTTTGAGAAATTTTTCTAAGAACATGTTGAGATCACGACCATCTAACAATATTTCTCGAAGAAAGTCTACATATGTTTTCACATCTGACACTTCGAAGAGTATTATTTCTCAAGACGTGCTTAGTCTCTTGTTCAGGCGGTCTAGGAAATCTTGCTCATTCTTTTGGGTCCTGCACTCTGCAGTTTCATCGGGCTTCTGGGAACATTTTGCTTGACTAATCACCTCTGGGAACATGTTGAGGCTGTAGAACCATATGGCACCCTTGTCATATGTAATTGTACTTTCGCGAGTTCGAGTTCGTCTCGACCTCGAGAAGCAGGTGGTCTGAGATTTGAGACGATACCCATGGCATTTGTTACGCGCCTTGGCAGTGGCCACTCTCTGTGTGTGTTGGTTGGTTGGAAAGCTGAGGGTGGTCTCAGGGGACTGTAAATGCCATAAGAGCTACCGTGGATTCTCACCTGGGCTTCTCATGGCATGTTCAGGCCAACTCTTGGATCATCATACAGGAGGATTGGGTGAGCTGAACATCTCCCGCAATTTCTTGCTCTCTGAAGTTCTTGCTGGCAGTGTAGCTAGCGCTTGGTGGATAAGGAAGAACTAATGGGAAACCGTGGTGGAAAAGTCTTATGTGATTTAGGCCTCGTGGATGGCACTTGGCAGTAATTGATAATGACATTACCTTTCGACTCCGGAACATTTGGGAGACATCGTCTGGATATGGACTCGTGACTCGATTTACCTGCATATATACATGTTGGTTACATAACCCCGAGGTATAGCGACATCTCAAGGGAAGGGCGTACATGCTCTTCATCCTTAACAAAGAATCAGATCCATTGTCATGTTGAGTTAACCGATCCGTTGTGATATTTGACCTCGGTGCAGTTATGTTGCTTCCATCTTTTGCCCAGGGGAGCGTGAAACTTTCTCATCTAAAGAATTGACAGTTTAGCTATGGTGTGATGCCAACGGCTGCACTGAATCGCATGAATTTGGCCTTTCAATTCAAAATGGTTGCTCCCTTCTGGTTGATTTGGTGGATCTGAGCAATTGTGTTGAGGCCGGAAATCCTGACGATATTTGTTCTCCTTCCTGCCTTTCAACTGACGGTACTAAGTCCGGCCCGCCAAAAGCCCGACACAGGCCCAGTTGGACCAAACCCGATCGGTCAATCCTCCACCTCCATTTCCTTCGTCAGTTGCTACCTGCGATGTTCTTCCTCTGCTCTTTTTCTCCATCGCATTTGCTGAACCGAACATAACAGAGAAGCCACCAGCAGTAATCAGCGCTCAAATCTTCGCTTTCCCTCCTCCGAAGCCTCGATCGTCGACCTGGGTTCTCTCCGTCATCGCAAAGGTCCGAGCTTTCATTGGTTACTTTGTTGGGTTTGACTCTAAAAGCTTCACCAATCCGTGCGATCTTTCAAGGTTTGATTTTTTCCTTCCTTCCTTCCCTCCGATCAGAAAGGTTTGCATCTCTTGAAACTCTGGCTAATTGTTGAAAAGTTTTCGCTGGGTTCGAGGTTGCGATCACGGCCAAATCGGATCGGCTTACTGAATTTCTCCTTCATCCCTCCATTTTAGATATATTCTTTAAGTCGAATCAGGTATTCATTCGATGTCCATGTCTTAGAATTTCCTAATTAGTTAGGGACGACTGGTATTGACTTACGTGTGGTGTGCACAAATGTTTGCTACACTGGCTTGAAAGTGAAAAAGGGGCAAATGTTTTATGTGAGAAATTTCTGTATGGAATATCCTGCAATAGCAACAAAGAGCATCAAAGATGTTGTTGCTGTTCTGGTGGGAGATTTGCTCTTGCTGGTCTGATTTTTTTACTTACGTGTGGCGAAGGGTAGGATTGCTTGGGCATAATGAAGCATATTGTGAAGATAATTACCTTGTTGGTGGCTATCTCTGCCATGTGGATTGGTCTCCTGGAGATGTCCGTAGTTCCGCGAAGTCAGACTTGGTTGGTGAGAATCTTTTTAGTTGCCTCTCCCTTCTCTGATCTCCTTTTCCCTTGTAAGATCCTTACTTTCGTCGGTAGCTTGATGTTTTGTGTTGCTAATTGTTCTTCAGCTACCAATATATTTCATTGTTTCACTGGGATGCTATGGATTGCTAATGGTTGGCATCGGCCTAATGCACTTTCCAACTTGTCCTCAAGAGGCATTGTTGTTGCAGCAGGTATTTCGTTTTTCGAATTTTCTTAATTTTGTTACCAGACAAGGCTCATACGTCGATAAATCTATTTTCGACTCTCAGTGGGTTCCATTTCTCTCTGTATTTGTTTCTTTACCTTCTGGTTGTTTTAATGGTGCTAGCGTGTATATTTTTGTAAGGATTATACTGAGGCTCCTCTTTGGAAATGTTACTGGTAGTGTGCTGCATGCAAAGTGCTTGAGTGAATGCCTAAAAGGAAAATTTCTCATGGGAGCTAGTTCTGTTGCCTATATATATATATATATATATATTTTTTTTTCTTATCTCGAATGAAGAACATCATTGAGATCATGACCTTCTAACATATTTAGTCTCTTCCAACATTTCTTGAAGAAAGTCTGTATATGTTTTCAAATTTGATACTCAAATAGTATTTCTCAAGACATCACTTGGTTTCGTGTTCAGGCAGTCTATGAAATCTTGTCCAATCTTTTAGGTTGGGACTTTGGTGCTTGTTTTATCAGGTTTCTTGGAGCCTTGCATTTAACTTGTTAACCCTGGGACCATATGGAAGTGGTAAAACAATTTGGCTCCAGTGTCATATATCATTGTATTTCTGTAAGTTCGACTTTGTCTTGACCTCGAGATGCAGGTGGTCTGAGATTCAAAACAATACCCATGGTATTTACTCAGTGGCTTGTCAGTGACCGCTCTATGTGTGTGGTTTGGGGTGTGGTGGGTGGTCTTGGGGGGAATATGGTCCTCTAAGAGTAGACCCGTCAAAACGCATTCTACGGCAAGAGGACTTGTTACTCAATTTAGTTTATTAATCTGCCCGCCTGTGTTAACGCTGACTCGTGGGTCTACCACAGGAGTATGCGGTAACCTGAACCTGACTTTACACCTAGCACAGTTTCTTGCTCTCTGAGGTTCTCTCTGAGTAGCTAGCTCGTGCTTGGTGTCTCTGGAAGGAGTGGTGGAAGACCGTAGTGAAATATCTATGATGTGATAATAGGATGGCACACAGCTGCAATGAATCATATGAATTTGGTCTTTCAGAATGATTGCTCCATTGTTGGACAATTTGCTGGAATGATTGCACCATTGTTGGACTATTTGCTGGAACTTAGCAATGTATTCTGTACCTGCCCATTTTTTGCGCACGTTTTAGTTCAGTTATAGTTTGTTTTTTTTTTTAACTGGAACATATAGTTAAACTTTGTGTTGAGGCAAGAGAGTTGAATCTTTTGCAGGACGTTGTTGAGGCCAAGCATTTCTTGAAGCAAAGAGGGGTCGATGTTGGTTCCGAATGATTTGACCTACTGAACATATTTACACACAGATCAGTCCTATTCGAGTGGAAGTTGATCTCCGAGTCTTCCGGGAATAGAGCAGCTGATGAACACTTTACTCGAGCTTTTTGACATTTTTGATTGTCAAGTTATCAACTAATCGTGAAAAGTCATGCTCTTGGCGCGTATGCTTGTAGGTGAAATCGAATTTTTGTTCATCTTGTCCACAATCCTTTAGCCAGTTCTTTGATGTATAGTCATACAGTACTCTCTCTCTCTCTCTCTGTGGGTTTTTCTTCTTTTGAATGTATGTTCTTTGATGTACTGATTGCCTTTAATTACAGACATTTGAGTAAGTGATTGAAGAGAGAGAGAGAGAGAGAGAGAGAAACCAGTCTGGCCCAAAAAGGAATGGAGATAGAGCAATGAGATTTAGGTAATTTACTTTCAAAATATATTGATATGTTTGTGCAGTAATTAAACTTTTTGCCTTTGCAAAAGAGGATATGTCCAGATCCAGTCAAAGTTGAGAACGTACTTTGGGGTAATTTCTTCACTATGCCAAAATAAAAAAACCAGGGCCATCGCCATAACTAAAAGAACCGGCACCTTTTGAGTTGCTTTCTTATTTTATAGAAAATTCGAACTTTTCTTTTTCATGTTTTGGACGAAGAACAAAGTTATTTTAAGTTCTAAAAAATCATGAAAAAATAGTATGTCAATTTATAACTTATTTATATATCAAGATTTGATATTGTGTCAATGGTTTTTGGTATTTTATCTCTATTATTATATAAAGCGAAGAGAGAATTTTGATTTTTTTTATTCTTTAAATCTTCTCTATTACTTATTTTATACATATTGAATCCAAGAGTAAATTTGTAAGCAAATAATTTTATTTAAGCATTTATATATTTAATTTTAATTTTAATTTTTTTATTCTTAAACTACTTTCCATAAAATTCAAATATTTAAGTATATTTATCTGTTCATTATATTTATACAATGTCTTGCATTGTATATTTTTATGAATAATTTTTGTTCATTAGTAAATGATTCAAACATTTCGCAAAAAGTAGTTTTCCTTAAATATTTCGAAGTTCAGTTTTTCGCAAACACGCAGACAAAACTCGTGTGCACATTTGCTAGTGTTAAATAAAAGTTAAAGTGACTAAGTCACAAGATTTAAGCGGCCGAATTTCATTAAAAATCCCAAATTTTATGTCACAAAAAAAAAAAACTCGTGTGCACATTTGCTAGTGTTAAATAAAAGTTAAAGTGACTAAGTCACAAGATTTAAATGGCCGAATTTCATTAAAAATCCCAAACTTTATGTTATGTCCCAAAAAAAAAAAACTCGTGTGCACATTTGCTAGTGTTAAATAAAAGTTAAAGTGACTAAGTCACAAGATTTAAACGCCGAATTTCATTAAAACTCCCAAACTTTGTGTTATGTCCCAAATTTATCCCAAACTTTTTTCTATTACATAAAAAGTCATCAACTTTTATTTTATACCCAGTCTATCCTTTATTATTTTACCATCCAATTATACCCTTATAATCTGATGTGTCATCTATTTGTCCTTTTTCACACGTCAGCTTAGTTGAATTTCTTTTCTTTCTCCTTCTTCCTTTTACTGCCGCCATGGACAACCTGTGTGAACAACACTGTTCATCGTCTTCTTCGCACAAACATGCTCGGCCACAATTCACCGGCGCTCACCAATCGCCACCCAGAACTCCGACGTTGCACCACGACTTCTGACAACCCCTTCGCGACTGTGGGCAGTCGTCGGAATCATCTCCCGCAGTAAAAATTGAAACCCCTATTTCTGGTTTCAATTTTTCAAGCTTCAAGAAGTCATTTTTATTGGCCATTACCTTCACTTAGTCATCCTTGAAGTTTTGTAGATCCATTTCGTGCTCGGGCGACGACAGAACGAGCCCAAGCTCTTCTCTCTCTCACTCTATGCTCTATGGTCGATCTCCATTAATGGAGGTTGCCACTCGCAATTGAGGCACACGACCTCACATTTGAGTTAATCTCTCCTCTTGAGCTGAACAAAACGGAACCAATACTTAGTTCCGCACATGCCTTTGAGCTCTAACTCACATATTCACTTCAAAATCGAATCATTTTGGCCTCAAAACCCCTGATTTCGACCATTTTCAGTCCTTAAAACTCTAAGAACTTGAACTTATTTTTGGTAAGTCTCACCAAAATGCACCAAGACCCATCATCACCGTTTCAATGCACAACGAGTCCTCAATTCCCAGAGCAAGAACAGCTAATATGCCCTCCCTGTGATTCCACATGTACCAAGTTTTGCTACTACAACAACTCCAACCTCTTTTAGGGCGCGAATGGTAACCATTCTGCTCCAGAAATCAAATTCTTGCCAGAAATTGATTTCCGGAATTCTTGCAAGAAATTGATTTTTGGAGAAGAAACCTGTTTGATAAAACATGACTAATTCTGCTCCAGAAATTGATTTCTGGAACAGAAATCTATTTTTATTTTTTTGATTTTTTTGGGCACCTCAAAAAAAATAAATTTCATTCAAAGTGGATGCCCAAAGGTATTCTAAGCCATTTTGTGAAGTTTTGAAATTTTTGATTTTTTGGGGCACCTCAAAAAAATTAAATTTCACTCAAAGTGGGTGCCCAAAGGTATTCTGAGCCATTTTGTGAAGTTTTGAAATTTTTGATTTTTTTGGGCATCTCAAAAAAATTAAATTTCACTCAAAGTGGATGCCCAACGGTATTCTAAGCTATTTTGTGAAGTTTTGAAATTTTTGATTTTTTGATTTTTTTGGGCATATCAAAAAAATTAAATTTCACTCAAAAGTGGGTGCCCAAAGGTATTCTAAGCCATTCTGTGAAGTTTTGAAATTTTTGATTTTTTTATATTTTTTGAAAAAAATTCACCAAATTTCCTATTTTCTCGAAATCTGACTTTTTTTTATTTTCTGGAAATTTTTATGAATTTTTATGAATTTTTCTGGAATTTTTCAATTTTTATGCATTTTCTGAAAAAAAAAAATTAGTAAGAAAAAGAGAGAAAATAGGGAGAATGCATTTTGGAAGAGAGAAACTACAAAAAGTAGCTTCTTTTTTTCTTGCCCAAAACTCATTCTGGAATCAAAAATGCATTCTGAAATCAAGAATGCATTCTGGAATCAAGTATTTTTAAGAAACACATTTTTATTCCAGAATGCAAAAATTGCTCCAAAATGCATTCCGGAAATTTTTTAACAAACACATTTCTGTTCCGGAATGCATTCTGGAGCAGAATTTCTACTCCAGAATGGATTCCATGCGCGCCCTTAGTCGCCCCACTTTTGCAACAGCTGCTGTGGCTACGGGACCGCCGGCAGTGCCCTCCGCAACATCCCCGTCTGACGTAGTATCCTGAAGGCAACCGGTTGATCTCATGGCTAGGTTGATGGTGGTTTGTTATGGTAGAAGTGAAGGGATAAGAAGAAAGGAAAAAAAAATGAAAAAAAAAACTTAATTTGGAAGATTAAATGGACGTGGATCTAACTAGTCAAATTCTAAGGGTATAATTGGACGAAAAATAACAAAGGGCAGATTTGGGAAGAAAGTGGAAGTTTGTGATTTTTTATGAGACAAAGAATAGTTTGGGGTAGAATTGGGATAATACCCATAGTTTGGGGTTATTAATGGAATTAGGCCGATTTAAACAAAATAACAAAAAAACACTTAAAATAGCAAAACTGTCTGTATTATGCTTGTGCACATTTGCTACTGCTAAATAAAAGTCAAACTACTGTCGGCGACCACTGCGTTAGGCCGCGCGACCTCAGGTGTCCCCTAGGTCACGTGATCTCAGGCAACCATTGCTTGGGCTCGACCTCAAGCAGCATCGATTGGCTCGCAGGACCACAAGCGGCATCGTGTGATGTCGCTCGACCCCAGGCGAGGCTGGCTGGCGGCTATTTTGGCCCGCCGATGGCTGAGCTCCACCTCAAGCTTTTTCTAAAAAAAATATTAGTAACAGTCATTTACAAAATATAGTTTTTTTTAGGTCAAAGTTGCTTTCAAACGTGATTTTAAAATACACTTTATCAAACTTTACTTGCATTTCGAAAAACTCCTTTAGCTTAAAGGCCTTTGCATTTTGTTAAAAACATTCCCCCAAAACCAAACCAAATTGGCCCTAAATCATTAAAAGGTTTAGGACTAAATTAGCAAATCATCAAAAAATTTAGGACTAAATTGACATAATTGAAAGATTTAAGAATAAATTGGCAAATCGTCAAAAGATTTAGGATTAAATTAGCCAAATTGAAAGGTTTTTGACCGAATTGACACGTATACAATAGGTTTAACACATTTTTTGGTAATTTCCCCTCTATTTAAGTGAAGCCCCATATTCCAAAAGCCCGAATGTGTGTATTTCTCCCTTAAATAATTTCCAAAAAACCAGAAAAATAATAATATGGCTTGCTTTTCAAGGCTTCAATCTTCTTTCCTCTTCTTGCTCATTGCCTCAATGTGCTTTTTTGCAGTCTCAATGGTAAGAACATGTCAACATTTTCCCCATTTCAGGAAAATTGCAAAGGGCTTCCCTTTTTTATTTACTCACCTGCGGTAAAGATTTTCTCACATGCATATTAACCTGTGACAATACCAGTTTTAGGCTGGTGGGGAAGGGTCTCTTCGTCCAGAAGGTATGTGGTTTGGCCATTCCATCATTCTACTTTAGTTCAAGTTTACCAATTGAAATTCCACCAAAAATAGAAATCAACCCTTTAAATTCTATGGTTTTCTGATTAACTCTGCGCTTTCTTTTTCCGTAGAATGCTCAAAAGCTTGCGACTACTGGTGCTCGGGGACGTCTCACCAGAAGCCATGCCTGTTCTTTTGCCACAAGTGCTGTACAAAGTGTTTGTGTGTTCCATCAGGAACTTATGGCCACAAGGAGGAGTGTCCTTGTTACAATAACTGGACAACCAAGGAAGGAAAACCTAAGTGCCCTCGAGCAAAATTTGCCTTTACAGCACTAGTTTTTGCTGTGGTAGAAGAAAATCTGTGAAGAGAGAGTGACCCTTGTAAGAAGCATTTGATTGTCAATGAACTAAAGCTTCAAAACCAACTTAACGTTCTGGAGTATCCAAAACAAAAATGTCAGTAAATCATTAATTCTTCAGCTAGTTGGTTGGCGCATGAACACCGAATGAGGTTGATAGTATTATTCTCTCTTTTGCTGAGTTTACGAGGAGGAACCGGGACGAGTTCGATCAAGCGGGACAACAAGCTCACGAGGCCAACAGGCCAATTCTAAAAGCGCGGTATGACTTTCAACAATAGTCGGCTGGCAGCATTGGAATGCGAATGCCTAACGTTAATAAAGAAAACAAAGTATCAAATTCTAATGACCATATAATTAGCTTAAGCCGGTCTGTTTCACACCTTCTTCCAAGAATAAATGTTGAACAGACACAAGAATATGGCAGACGAGGGTTTCTTCTAGATTGGGAAGAACAGACACAAAAGAAAGCTTTTGAGGTTTTGGTCGATGGTGAATCGGTGATCATGGTGACACGTTCGAATAGAGCCCCATGTGTGATCTGGTCGGCTGCTTGACGTGGTTTCTTTAAAGCAACCATTGTCGCTGTCATTTTCCCTTTTGAGGCTAACTTTTAAGAGACAAAACGCAAAAACTTGCAGCTTCTTTCCTTATTCAAACACCTACGTGCGCGCCCATGTCATTTCGTCCGCGGAAAACAATTTAACTAAAAGTAGATATAACGTTTTTCAAGACACTTTAAATGTGGAAGCACTACACATATTTATAAACTCGCTTCCTTCAAATAATAAACTTTAAACTTCCAAAGCATATTTAGTATGGCATAACATGTGCCTAATGGTTTACCGGCAAAGAGATCCATACTTTCGATCATTTACGGGACGAAACCAGTAGTTATATGGTGAATCGAAGAATTGAGTTATTCAGGTGGTGCAAAAAGCCAGTTTCCGAAAAGTAAACGAAGAAGTTTCTTTTAAAAAGCGAGAGACCCTACCTGTCGGTGACTAAACAATCAAGTTAGAGTACGGCAGGGCCGGGGAAAATTTCTAGTGGGGCGGTGAACCCACATTCGTTTTATTTAATACGAGGGCAAATTTGGAAGAAAGTCGTTTTATTTAATACGAGGGCAAATTTGGAAGAAAGGAAAGAGAGGCAAACCTCGAATTCCCATTTTCTATAAAATATGTAAAAGATATGTAGAGGCACATGGGGTTTTTTTTTGTATTGTAATTGGCATCAAATTAGACAAAAGTAGGGTAATGCACAAACTCAAAGCTAATTAAAAAAGAATTAGCATGTTCCAAAATGACGACCCGAGAGTGTTGACCGTGGGTCCATGAAAGACCCGGGAAAACGGGCCTGCTTTTCGAGGACTACGAAGATTAAAGGCCAATGTGGGACAAAGTTGACCTAACACCCGCCAAATTAATTTGATGCATCCGCAATAGATCAAGATTTGTTGCTTAGATAGAGATTATATTGCACGAGTGCCATCTACCAATTCATCAATTTACGAAATATGGAAAACTAGCTAATCACAGTTGTCATTCATATAAATGTAACGGCAAACCCCACTTTTTCTGTTTTTTTTTTTTCGTGATTTTGACTATCGAACCTATTACAGGTATGTATGACAATCTATATCAAGTGATAACGTCGTGCATGATGTTCTCTCGATTCTAAATTGAATGTTGCCTCCACACAAAGGCGAGGTCCGCCAGCTCTGCTTTACAGCAATCTTATAGTATGTTTGGCGTGAGAACTTAATTGAACGGAAATGGAAATAAGCGATTCTCAAGTAAAGCAATTGCCTCAAGAGAGGACTCGCTTTGCTTTCTTTCTTCTGCTCTGAAAACACCCTAAAATTTAAGCTCAAGCCGAGGAATGGTGCAGCTCTTTTATGTGGATCATTATTATCAGTAGCCCGATGCGGGAGCAACTGCTGGAAAGCTTTGTAGAGCTTCATAAATACAAAGCCAATAGATGGGTTCGCAAAACATTTTGTAATAAGCTGTAACTTTTCAACTCTATGAGCAGCTAAGGGGCTCATAATGTAAACTAATACAAAATGGTCATTCTTTTTCTTTCTTTTTTGCGCTTGTGCTCTCATTCCCAAACCCTCCCCACCCTGCCAACAGAGCCAAATTGCGTATTGGCTACAGAAAACTCATTCGAAGTAGTATACTTAGCACCAAAGTTCTTGCATATTCATGGGTTTCAAATCAATTTTCTACTTTCTGCTTATCATTATGCGTATGGTCGGACCTTTTCGTTATCGTTTTCGTGCTTTAATTTGCTGATTGACGATTGCCTAGGACTAAAAATTCAATGAAATCGTTCCATGTACCCATCCACATACGATTGAATCTTTCCTTTCTCCTCTCCTTCGGAACCCGCCTTCGTTTCTTCGACTCGTGCTTGTATGAACACTAATGTGTGCCCTTGGAGAGCAACGGAGTAGACAAAGGCCCGGTGACACGCGTCGAAAGAGCAACCGCTCGACATGATTAATCTAATCAAATCAAAGCCATTATTAATGAGAAATTTTTTTCTACAATCCGTCGTCGCAACGGTGCTTTCACTACTCGTGAACCCTTTTGCTTTCTATTTAATTATCTAATCGTGTCGCCTACTAAGTTTTAAATCTCTTCGTCTTTCTCTTCCTTTTCTCTGTCCTCATGCCAACTTTTTCCTGACAGTCTTTTGTCTCTGGAACTCACGCTGAATTAACTTACAGTAATCAGCCCATTAAACTATAATTAAGCATTGTTTAGACACGGTTGCTTTCCAAGTCTAACAAATGACACGTATAAGGAATATGTTTGAGCCATTAATTGTACTCCTTTCTGCATATTATCTTACCTTTTTAAATGCCTAATGAGTCCGAAAGTGGGTCGCTTGCGGCGTGACTGGAATTGAAGGTCAGATTATTCCTATAATATACGCCAGTGTGCCAGGGGCTCGATAAAATTGGAAGATGATGATAAAATGTGTTGAATTATTGACTCGGATTAAGACTTGTTGATATGTCTTCTAGTGGGAAAGCATTATAGTATTCGGGCTCCAACCTTACGTGCGTTTTTAACTTAAACCATGAGATAATTAAGTTCTCGACCGTAAGTATAAGGTTGTCTTCCCACATGTTTAACATTTGTTTAGGGTTTTGGGGCGCTTATTGGTTTGACAAAGTCTTTGCCAAGCCCAAACACATGCTTATGATGTATCCACATGCATTCAATCAAGGGGACATTTGGTCTTTTAATATGAATACAAAGGGGGCATAGAGTAGTGGATTTAAATTGAAAAAATTGGGACTAACGTTAGGTGAACCTGCTCATTAGGGCATGAGGTCCAGGGCAAAGGATGGCCCCCCTCTAGTACTTCACCTGAAGGATTTGGGGTAGCCTTAATAATCATCTACAATCATATGACCTACTACTAGTGTGCTCTAATCCCCAACTCAAATGATAATATAGGGGGGCGTACGTGCGCGACTCCATTCTATAGTTTCTTATATGATGACAGTGGGTCATCATATATTATAATTGAGGATGACTATTGATCCCACAAGCGCCAAACAAGCTGTGTACTCGATTTTTGACTAGCGTGTTACATGACGATTCGTGAAGTTGATTAGGGTTTCGAGCTTATGTATGGCCGCAACTAGTTTTTTTTTAGTTAAGTCTCACAGTAAAGCTGCATTTGGTGCAAGTATGGAAACGTCAAAAATAGCGTCTTGCGAGGATTTCCAGCGACGTCAGTGGTGACACAAAAGGACGAATTAGTTCCTTCTTTTGTCTAATTTGAAAACTTTTTTCTTATCAAATTTTGGTCTATCTCATCCTCAGGTCTGAACAACCTATCAAGCTTTTTCTAATAATTTATCTGAGTTTTTTCCTCTCAAATGACGTTACCAAACGCCGAATAGACTAATTTATATCATATCCAGCCTCAAATCCGAGTAGTCCAATGCGCCCTAAGTTTTCTTCTTTACAACAAGTCATTTTACTTTAGTCACAGTCACATGATTACTTACATAGCAAAATCATAACTATAAAACCAAAATCAGCTCATGCCCCATTTGTATGACCATGAGATTTTCTGTTGAGCAAGTTTGTGTATAACCTTGACAAAGGGTAAAATAATATGACCCAACATGAAAGTAGAGAATACCTAATTTTATTTAAAAGAAAGAAAACAGAAACACCAGGTTGGCCATCTCTCCAACATCTAGTTAATTTGAAGTTCTCATAGTGCATTAAGTTACCTAAGTAGGAACAAATAAGGCGATTACATGCAAATTGCTTTAGATCACGATTATCTGTGCAAGTCGAAAGTTTGCACTTAACCTATTCATGAAAATTTGTGAAGTAATTTATAGATTTTCAAGTAATCAGGTCTCTGGGCTCTCTCGATTCTGAAAAGAAAATGAGATGGTTGACGAACTTTGACGGCATTTATGAAGTTGCATAAATGATGGAACTGCACAAAGCCTCCTTTCTCTCTAGGTGAATTTAAATGAATATAAATCAATCACATTTTGAGGTCAACAAAAGCATACGAGAGAGAGAGAGAGAGAGAGAGAGAGAGAGAGAGAGAGAGATTGAATAGAAACTCTGATTGCCAGAAACTTCCCCTACACCCGCAGGCCTATGTCAATTCAGGCTAAAGTTTTTCTTTCCTCCTTTCCTTTTTTTCCCTTTGATGGGTCTCTACTATTTACACCGTGTTTGGCCATACATCATCACCATGATCATCATGATAAAGGCATGAAGGATCAGACCAAGATTGAAGATCATTGCCATCACGATCCGTTCCTCATCATTGTATGGGCAAGTGCGTGAAGCTCGCTCAAGTCGCAGCTGGGGGGTCTCTTCTTGGTGGTGCACGATGAAGATGGCTGCATGAAACAAAGCTCTTGATAATTGTAACAACCATCTCTATTACTCCCTGTCTCACGATGAACCATCATCATCGCTCCATTGCTGTTGTTGCTGTTGTTGCTGTGATCAATGGACTCGAGCGAGCTCGTGGGAGAGGCCGAACTGTTGCTCATCATCATCATGTGATTGGTCGTGAAAGCTTGGACTCCACTTGTATTATAATTACTATTATATCCTCCCCATTGTTGCTGAGGGTTTTGCGTTACGACGTTGTTGTTCCTGGAGTCCATCATCAGATTCTGGGCCACTTGGGCCTTCACTTGCATCAGCTGTGCTTGTAGACACGCGACCTATGAAGAAAACAGAGAGAGAGATTGCGAATTAGGGTTAGAAATTTAATGTTGTGTACTGTACCAATGCGAAGGAGAGTGGCAATCGATCAAGAAATTAAACACTCATGCATTATGGGTTGATCTTCTTGCATTACACTTTACAAAAATAGGTCGAAAGGTCAAGATGGATTAGAACTCATGAGTTTCTCCTTAAATTTCCTCAAGAGGAAAGCTTCATTTGGGAAAGAATAGCAGGCATTTTCAGCAATGAATTTTGAACGAGAAGGAAAAACTTAAGAAGCGGAAATCTCAGAAAGGTGAGAAAATTCACATGCCATGACCAAAAAAATCTTGATTTTCCTTGAGAGAAGATTTTAAAGAACTTCAGTTTCAAATCTTTCTCCCGAGTTTCTTGCTCAAACTTCATTTGTTTATCGACCCTTCCAATGGAAAAGGAAACAAAAGTTTAGATTAAGAAAAGAAAGAAAGGAGAAAAGATGATGATCAGGACATAACATATCGAATCATGAATTCAATGAATGATCACGGTCATGGTGAGCAAGTGGGATAGAGACCTGCTGCTGGAGGGCGAAGATCTGGGAGACGCAGCCGTAGACGGGGTCGCGGAGTCGGGCCTGGGCCTCGTAGGCAATGGTGACGACCGCCTCGCATCGGTCGGCAACGGGGACATGGAGCAGCAGCTTCGACACGTTGCTTGCCCCGAACACCTTGTGGATCGCCGCGAACCGCGCCGGCCCTTGCTCCGTCCTGAAGTAGGGCGCGAATATGCAGTCCGCCGCGCACTTCCTCCGCAGGAACTTGCACGCCCCGCATGGCGACCCCACCCCGTTCCCCGCCCCGCTCGATCCCATTGACGACGGCGGCAGCGACGACGAAGAGAGACAAGGAGTGAGACAGAGAAGGTGATGCGCACGAGTGCAGTGGGAATGAGCGAAGGAATAAGACAGATCGCGGAGCTCGCAGATTTGCACGTACGTTTTAAGCCAAACTGCTTTGATGGAGGGGAGAGGCAGGGAGCGTGTGGGGCACTTAGATGTTGGTCTATAAATATAACGAGAAGGAGCAAGTACATACATATTTTTTAAGTAACATTATTGTCTCGACTCGTTCTGTTCCGAAAAAAAGAAGAAATTACTTCTAAATAAGATACACAAACAATTATTCATAAAACATGTGCAGTTTACTTATTACACAACCCACTTCCATCACTATCGATTTTGAATGATTATAGCTCAAGGTACTGACCAATTGTCTAAATCAATGGTGATTGATGTGGTAATATTGATTTTGGTATGCCTCTTTGAGGTTCTATTATCAATGGGGTGAATCAAAAGTCACCCGTGATAATTACTTAAGGAAAAAGATCGAATCCGGTCCATGAGATAGATGCGAGATTTTATGGGCTCCTAGCTGACCCATTGAAGGTTGATTTTCGCGTCATTGGAAGATTATTATGTCTAGCTCTGACAACGACGCTCGAAACGTGTAATGCGTACAATACCAATTCTGTTTCGCTCCGCTCGTCCAATTTAACCTCCCAAAAACAGCAAAGAAATCCGATCAACGACACGCCTCTTTATCGTGATCGATTCCGTGCATCGCATCGCTTCGCCTCGCCCCTCCAAATATGTTCGTTAACGTGTTGTCTTTTCTAGTAATTAGATGTGGATCTAGATGATTACTTTTGCTTGCAATAGAGAAGGGGGGAATGGGACTGAATTGGCAGGGAGGGGGGGACAGGGAAGGTCTGCGTGTTGGGTTCAAAGGGCACATCAATTAATGGGCTTCACCGCAATTTGAGTTTAATTTAGGGGGTTGGGAGGGCCCCCCCCCCCAAATTTGCATTATTTGGAGAGAAGGAGCTCCTTCTTTATTGTCAGACGGTTTGGTCCTTGATAGAAAAAACAAAAAAAATTTGGGGCCAAAATTGTAATTTTTGGCGACTTGTGGTGGTGGGGGAGGGGGCTCGTTGTTTATTATTTTTCAGTCCTTTTCTCCGCCGAACGCCGCACCTGGGGACTGCTGCCTTTTGTCGCCTTTTTTTGACGCTGACCAAAACTGGGAGGAAGGGGAGGGGGATGGAAATGGAACCGGCACCTGTCGGTCACCACCTCTTCACTAGTTTTGGCCATGTTTGTAGATGAATAACTTGAATCAATATGTTCGATACCAATTCGTACATCGATGGACTGCCATGTCGATTCGTGTGTGTGTGTGTATAGGTCGTGTTGCGGTCTACAGATCGATCGGAAGCATAAACGACGGGATGCCATCGAAATTGTTTTGGAAATCCGGCGGCCGAATGATTAAAACCCGTTACGGAGGCGACGATCGCGATCGCAGAGCATGGTAACGAATATTTGAAAAATCCAATGTTAAAAGTGTAATCTAATAGTTCTTTGGAGAAAACAGACAGTGATTTTCACTTGCTTGCGAATATTTGAAAAACCCAATGTTAAAAGTGGGGGGGGCGATGACTCCTGCTAAACACGAGAGGCGCCAAATTTGTCAAACGATATGTAGGGCTTGACTTTTGGAAGCCTAGGGGCGAAGAAAAACTAGGAAGGTTGGCTCGAAAATCGGTTCGAGAAGAGACGGGGATGGTTCATCAGAAAGATCTCTTTGTTTATTAATCAACGAGGCAGCAACTGACAGGCATGAGTAGTCCGTGTATGCCTCGTTTAGGATGCTCAATTCATCGCATTGGACACAAATGAAAAGAAACGGACTTGAGAATGTCAAACTCCTTCGTCTGAACTCTGGGACAAAACACTGGAAGGGAGGGAAGAAAAACTTATCCATCAACGAGGGGGATTGGGCGTGCAGGCAGCGGCACGTTAAACAAAGAATGCAGTCTTGTCAGCCTGTCTAGTATATATACCTGGATAGGCGGGGCGGCCCCAATCAGAAACTTCGGTTTTCCGAGAAAAGTGTTGAAAATTTCCTAAATCTTTTGCATTGATGATAATTTAGTCCTAAACCTTTTTTTTTATACTAATTCAGTCATAAATCTTTTGTCTTTGTGCCAATTCAGTCTTTCCGGCTAATTTTAGCCGGATTTTGGTAGCGTGGACGCTAGCCGGCCTACGTGACGCTGCTGGCGTTGACGTGGACAATTTTTAATAATATTTTAATAATTTTTTGATTTTTTAATTTTTTTTTTCTGATTTCTTTCTTTTTTCTTTTTTTCCTTCTTCTACCTTTGGCTGGCCGCCTGGGCGAGGGCAAGGCCGCCATTGCCCGGATGAGGCTGCCGTCGCCCCCCACAAGCGAGGCTCGGCCGACCCTCACCTGGGCAAGGGCGAGCCCCGGCGAGGGGAGCCCTTGGTGGGGCACGGCCTTGCCCAGGCTAGGCCAAGCCAGGCCGCCGGCTAGGGCCAGTGACCGAACTAATCACTGGCCAAAGGTAGAAGAAGAAGAAAAAGAAAAAAAAAAGGAAAGAAGGAAAAAAAGAAAAAAAGAAAGAAATCAGAAAAAAATATTTAAAAAATCGAAAAAATATTAAAATATTATTAAAATTTATCCACGTCAGTGCCGGCGGTGCCACGTAGGCCGGCTGGCGTCCACGTCACCAAAATTCGGCCAAAATTAGCCGAATAGACTGAATTGGCACAAAGACAAAATGTTTAGAATTAAATTGGCACCAACAAATGGTTTATGACTAAATTACCACAAATACAAAGGTTTAAGACTTTTTCAACACTTTTCCCTCGGTTTCCCCTACTTTGGTAGGTACACAAGGTAACTCTCACCAAGGATCTAAGGTAGGCCCCTGTTACCTAAAATGGAGAAGGGTACCAAAAAGAGAGACGTTTATTTATGAAATTTTTCGAAAAAGAAAAAAAATTCCCAATTAGATCTCGATAAACTCTTCGACAACGGCGGAAATATTCTGGTGGGTAAGATGAAAAATTCGAAGATTTTCTAAAACCGTTTAGGACTGTATTGGCGAAGTCGAAAGGTTTTAGGACTAAATCGGCATTCGAACAATGAGTCCAGGATCAGTATGGTAATTTTCCAAAGTATCAAATTTTTCATTTGGTTGCAAAAGAAAAAAACATTGAATATTCCAAGTAACCACTATCATTTCATGCATGATTAAAGTCCAATCCGACCCTTCTTATCATGTTTGAAAAGCGAGAGGGAAAAAAGAATGCAAATAATGACGTCCCCACCATGTGATTTTAGCCTTGGGTTTTCATCAACTTTTGACAAAAGGGGTTAAGAAGAATGCATAGGCTGCTTCCCCGAACTTTGTAGTGTCTCGTACAATGACGCCGTTATAATAATATTGGGGCAAAGGAGGAGTCGCTAACCAAACAGACACCAATCAGGGTCTCCCGTGGATCATTAGTTATTCGGTTAATAGTTACCTCATTACAAAAGAGGAACTGAAGCTTCCCAGAGGACACCGCGGCATGTCCGTTTGATATACAGGGTGGATCATTAGTTATTCGGTTAATAGTTACCTCATTACAAAAGAGGAACTGAAGCTTCCCAGAGGACACCGCGGCATGTCCATTTGATATACAGGGATGACGGGCTCCATGTATGCGTTCCTTATTTTAACGTATCCGTGCCCACACGCCCTGCACCCCCAATTCTTCTCATAGACCCTCTATAATTCTTTACATCCTGATAATTCCGAAATCTAGACGAGATCCTAGATGAAATAATTTGAGGGCATGCTTAGGTCTAAAATTGAATGATGCTGTTACTATATAGGGGGAAAAAAGGAGTAGCTAATCAAACAGACACCGACGATGAGGCCGAAGCCCGTATGTTTCGACCGAAAGGAGGAGTGGATTTAGAGAGGCAATGACCGGTTGGGACAAGAGGAAGATCAGGTTACAGTGCTCGGGACTATGAAACAACGTGGGTGATCTCGAACTCAAACCTACAAAGTCAATCATCACGCGTACACACATCGATAGCACGCTCTCTTGTGAATATAAAAAAGCCAAGCTGCGCACCATGTTACAACAGCAACACCAGAGTGATATCGTAACCGTGACTAAGGAAAATGGCTGTTTGCACTCACAACCATCCCGCCAACCGTCGGGCCCCCTAAACACATAAGTGGTCGAACCGTCGCGATCCCTTTTTTCTCTCGTCGGGCCCCCACCTATCACGTCCGTCACGATGAGGTGATCCTCCTCGCCGCATACCGCACTCTCACCGAGCCGTCCAGTTGGATTGCGCTTCAAGATCATCTACTTCAACCGACAAGACCCTCTTACTGAATTACGGGTAGATTCTCCGTTCCACATGCCCCGACACGACTTAGTGTCTGGATTTTCACTCTAGCAATCTTCTTTGGATCCACATTGAGCTGCAAAGCGCTCAACAACAAGATCTTAACTCACGACAAACAGTCAGGATCATCAGCTAACATGAGGGATCTTGGTAATATCTAAGAGGACGATGGCCTTCATGATGCCTTGCTTACCCAGTACTTGATAAAATCTCACTATATGAGTCCGCCTTCGCCAACACCGATGTCTGATGGACCGTGCAGGAAATATCTACGAACGTGCAAGCGACGTGCCAAGTCACCACGCACATAATTCACAGTAGTTAAGAGGATGTATCAGTTCTCTACTGTTCTCACTTTGCACCATACTCCCATGAAAGGCGCAAGAAATTATGAAACATTCAAAATTAACAATTTATCACCACCTAGAAGAGGCAGCATCGCGAACTTTCAAGAATAGTCGCGTTTCTTGGCAAGACGATATGCCTCGGTCCCTGAACTAATGACATAGCAGTCTTACGCATCGTGTGCCACCCCTTGGGACAATTCAATCAAACCATAGAGGACGCAACTGAACTCGTAATTTTTTGGAAACTGAACTCATAATATAAAGGCACGACACTTTTTCACTTGCAAATGTCAGTTACAGAGCTAAGACCGAAACTTGACATACTCGTAGCTAAGAGAGGAAGGTTGAAGATCTCCACCAAACCCCAAAATGAGATCTTGACAGTGATGAAAATAGTGGTTAACAGGTATAAGTGTCAAACAAACCGGAAACTGAGCCTCCAACCACATAGACCACTAGGTGCTATATACATCCACCCTACATAAAAATTCAAAAAGCAAGCAACCAACACTTTTAGCTGCTTCTTCACCTCCCGTGGTGAAACCTCACCTTCAACAAAAATTGCATCTTAACCTGTTAAAGACACCACATCCAACCACCAGATCAGTAGTCAGGGTAATAGATAGTTATAATCTGTGCTGAGTTCTGAAGAAACACAGTTGGAGGGTAGTAGTGACCAAGCAGGATCCAGCTTGCAATAGTAACAACGAAAGAATACCAATATCACACTTCATTGTTCAAAGAAAACAAAGAAATACTTCGAAACTCCAACTGCCCAACATAAATTATGACAGGATGCTTGAGGTGGCCAGACAAGTGATAGTGTGTATGCAAGTGAAATCTAATGCCTGTTGGCACTGAAAAGCCTACATCACTCCGTTTGTGGCAAGAATAAATGGCTTTTTTACCAGATAGGGGCAAGAAAACCCTTCGCTTTCTTCATCTTAAACACCTATATATGGCTATTCTGTTTTTCTCCCATTGTGACTTAAATAACTAAATCCTCTTGACGCAAAGCTCTAGATTGTTATACAGTAGAAAAAGATTTGGAGGGCCAATTTTTTTTTTGCTTTATGAAAGGCAAAAAGCAACTGTTTGCTCTCCCACCAAAATTTAAAATACTTTCCAAATTTCAAATAATTACGAGAAAATTATATGTGAATCACGAGTCGAAATTTGTATAAGTTTCAGGTATTTTGGCCTATGAAAAAGTCAACGTATGTACGCCGCAAGGTTTAGATTAAATAAAAACTAAAAGTCTATCCAGACACAACAAAGCATCGTGCTATGAAAATGCAAGCGCTAGCGAGCTGTATTATGATAATTAAGATCAAAATTTAATAGGCAAACTTACTTGAGCTGTATTATAAACAATGTACTCATTGTACATAAGCTCAGAGGCTTTCACATTAGAAGATACTGGTTTGCCACAGGGAACAATAACATCATCCTTCCATTTCAAGTACTCCGACTCCAGGGGTATCTTCTTGCCTAGACCTTTAGTAGAGTGTTTGCCTTCTGGGGGTTTATCCATATACTGAATGACAAATGAAAGAAAGGGTAATAAGCCCCTCTTGCAAATAAAAAGTAAAACATGCAAATTTAATAGATATTGAGTTAGAAAAATGAAGCAGGATTCTAAGTTATCAGAAACTTTTCCTACAAAGCAGTTCGTCAACAACATGTAGGAATAAAGGAGATCAGTCATCCCTTCAGACCTAAAAGACCTAATATGCACACATACCTTTGCCTTCTTAAGCTCATAGACCTCTCCCAAAGCAACTTCACTCAAGAGCATTAGTCCAACAGGATTTTTCTTATCAGTGAAGCAATACTGGGCACTTTTACTGACCATGTCAGCAAAATATACTCCTTTCCCAAACTGCATAACAAGTGAAATTACATTTGCAGATAAAGTTTCAACGTAAACAAGAAAAACCACATGCATCAGAGAGAGAGAGAGAGAGAGAGAGAGAGAGAGAGAGAGAGGAGGAGGATGAGGAGGAGGAGGAGAACCATGTAGCCAGTTGCTGGAGCTTCAGGAGGAGCAATTCTCAGTCCTTGACTGAGTATACCTACAAAGTTTGTCAAGCGAGAACCTGTGGAGCGGAAACTTTTAGTCGCTACTTATCAATTTGCTTTGGAATAGCCACTCAAACGAAAGATCATGTCAATCCTTTAATGAATTAAAGCTGTCACTAACCATGCCATAAAAGCATTCTATTCCTTAGGTTTTGCCGGAAGGGAGCAAATTTATCAAATTCCCCTTCACGTTCAAGTGAGAAGACGTCCTCCAATTCTAGAGTCCAATCCTGAAAGATAAAAGAAACAGAATAAATATTCTACTAGAATGGGTGAGAGAGAGATAGAGAGTAGAGAAAACCCAGCAAAGCTAAAGTCTATGATCAACAATCACAGAGCACACCAACCGTGTGAGTAGGTGCATGGGTCTTATGGAGATACTTCTCAATCAGCTGATACTCTTCACCATCATGAGGAAGGGGATCAATGTTACATCTGAGCTTTTTGTACTTCTCATCAAGTGAATCGTCATTATCAACATCAAAGCCAACCAGTCTAGAAGCAATTTCAATGTCCTGAAGAGCTTCTAACATTTTCACCTGCCATAAAGGCAAGAACATATTTGACATGATAATTTTAATGAGCCACTGTGGAAAGCAGCTAATTCACCAAGGTATCAAATTGGTTATAAGCCATGCAGGGAAAAGATATATTCATTCGTTAGTATCCACAAATTTGAAAATATCAATGCGTCAAACCCTGGACAGAATATCACGTATCAAGAATAACATAGTTAAGTACATGATGAAACTTGAAACAACTTCACCAATAAAATCCTCAATTCATTTGGTTGTGGACTGCCTTTAAAATATTCCATATGGTAAATGTTTCTGCCTTTAAAATTTTAAAAAACACTAAAAGCAATAGGATAAAACCAGGGAATATAAGTATGAAAAATATGACATGCTCTGCAACTATTGCTTCCTGTAGTCCGATGGCACTCACAGCAAACAAGAATTTCAATCTCATTCTCATTCCAAATGTTCCCTAGTATTCACCATCATAGCCAATATTGCATCTATTGCCAGATACTGGCCAAATATCTCATTCTTTTGCAGTTTGAGTTCATGTTGCACAACCAAAACAGAAAACAAAACGGCACATCGATTTTGGCTGCATCAAGGAAAATTTATGTGGGCTCATGCAAGGAGCCAGCAAGTCACAAGTAGACATTTTCTACCCGAGAATGGGTTCTGCACATTTCTTGAGTCGTGAGAGAAAACTTCTTTCAGCCTTACCTCACATGCAAAAGTATGTAAGGACACGGATGAGTGTCTAGATAGTAATCAATCAACGACAATCTCATTGGCTTCACAAGAAATACATAACATTAGGTGATGAAACATGCAATGCATTTTGCAGTGCATTCGGTACCTTGGACTGAAAATCATCTTCATCCTTGATAACATGCGGATGAATAGAGGGGATCACTGTGAAAAATCGGTTGCTAGCATCAATAAGCAAACTTTCTTTGACGGATGGATCGTGAGTTCCACTATTCAATAGATTCTGTATGTCTGTTAATGCTTCAAAACCTGAGATCAAAGAAGTATAACATAACCAAACCCATCATTCCTGAATATAATCTGATTACAAAAAGAAAAATATGGCATTTCAGCTGGCTATACAAATCACAAAAGATCGATACTCAAATCCAGTACCTTTCCTTATGTTAATTTTGCTCAGTTTTCCAAGCGGCATTTCGGACATATTGATTTCAAATTCCATCATAGCAGCTCTGCAGTCAGTATTGGACTTAGATAGAATACAAAGCACCATAGGCCATGAAATTCTAATATGGGTTATCATATGACCTATATGTCTCCACGTTAAAAAGCATCCTCATCAGTTCTTTTAATGGAGGGGCAAGTTGGCTATCTGCATCATCTGGAGTTTTCTTTGTGACCTGTTTGCTGACTCCGTAGTCCTACAAATCAATCATTTGGAAAGTTAGAGAGAAATAGAATTTCACACTTAATCAAGTATATTTTCATTGGACAAGGCAATATAGATGAGAAGTACTATATCCAGAGGGTAGAATCTGCCCGGTTGCTTTTGAAAATTCTCTTTTGACTCCCATGCCTCCCATGGATTCCCCGTCTTTTCAAGAAACAACCGTTTGAATTGATCGATTGCATCTGATTTTGAAAGCTCCTCTAATTTGCTTCCTCCAATTTTTTCATTCCCCACTCGACCCCATTTGCGAAAAACGTAACAGTCTGACCCTCTATCTTCTTGGATTATTTGGAGGATGTAGTAACTTCACAGAGCAACCAGAGACAGTCATCCATCAGCAAGAGTAAGGTTTAACAAAAAAAAAAAATTATATGGAAATCAAGCAGTCATGTAGTAGACTTTGATCAGAGTTTTGTTTTTTTTTTCGGTCGAAGACTTTGATCAGAGTTCAGAAACTGAAAATCAGCCAGGCACACGTAAATTGAAAAAGTTGAAAAAAAAAAGAATTTCCTTATCAGTTATGCAATGTAGCTCCAAACTAAAAAGCTTACAATCAGCTCATAACATTTCAAATTGGCCAATTATCCCCAACCATTTAATACATAGTTAAATTAACACATTTCATGACAATTTTAAAATTGTGGAACCACTGTCGACAGTTCTCAAGGCTTAAGCTATTAAATTAAGGCGTAGTTTAATATTCGAATAATATACAAACAATCTATGAGATCATCAGTAATTTGATCCTAGACTTTAGGAAGATTGTATAAGTGAAAGATTTGTGAAAATTATTTGTGGATGATAGATCAATCGCAATTTGGTCCAAGCAATTTACAATCTTATCACAAAATTGTCGATTTTTGTAACCTTTTACTCAATGTATTCGAGCAGATTACTTTCATTTTCCATTCTTAGTTTCCACGTTGTTGACTACAAGCATAGCGCTGTCAAACAAGACGATATATGTGCACGTATATTGAATACACGTGTCTATGTACACATGCACATACATCCAAAGTCCACAAAGTCAAAGTCCTTTTGCTCCCTAACCTGTAAAGCCCGTTCCAGTGCAACAGTTACATTTTAGATGCTGCCATTAAGAACTAACCATTTTCAAGAAGCAGGTTTGTATCGTCTTCTATGTATGAATCTCTGTGCAAGAAGCTCCAACTCGGCGACACAATTGAAAGGAGAAAGGAAACTTATTTTGACAGTAGCAAATTGCAACTAGACCCCCATCCAAGCCATGGTAGTCAATTAAACAGAAGTAATTCATAGGTACACAAGCATAAATATGCCAGTAGAAGAAGACGGAGATCTGGGGTGAACTAAGACAAATCTGCCATCTCTTTCCCTCAATTTCTTCCAGTTTCCCTTAAAATGTCAGTTATGAACTTGAACCACTGATTTGCAGTTTCTTTTAAAATACATTTGATGTTCCAAAATGCATTACAAATGACCTAATGTCAGATTTTATTGGAATAATCAACTCCATCCTTATATGTCACATAGTTTAAACTCTTTTATAGCTTGTTACACCCTCAAAGCTTTTAAAACAGTTGCAATTAGGCCCATTTATGGCCAAAGCTAACTGTTTGTCGATTCAACATGTAATTTCTTCGGAAGGTACTTTGCAGATTTCTCCTCATCTATTTTGAGCAGAACTTGAAGAGTAAAGGAAATTTGCCATTTGTTTATCGGTTAACAGGGCCAACCATGTATTCTTTGTAAATGAGACAGATATGTACTCAAAGTAAAGGGATTTGTGTAATTTCTTTTAAATTTGATAAATAGTTTCATCTTAACATCTAGAGAAAAGATAAAATCGGCAGATCAAACAACCAGGTCAAACCAGCTAATAGGTCCTCTTCTGGGGTATATCAATAGATCTTGGCTTAATGGGAAGTTACTGATCAGAGTAGCACCATGATTCCAAACAAGGTTTCAATCAGATTGCAAAAAATCAGTGGAAACATCACGCTATTGCTTTTATAAAGGAAAAAGACACGCCAAAGGTTCATCCTCAGAGCTTCTACAGCCTCCCGTTGAAGAGAAGAGTTGTCGGACATGTAAGAAGAATAATCAACTGACTACCTAAGAAGCATAGAAATACCAATAAGGCTATATTAACAAGTTCGTACTGAAACCAGGTACAGACAACCAACATCACACCAAAATGTAGTTTATTCCTACAAGGTCTCTTAAGTAAATCCAGAAACTTCTCTTTCTTCCTAAGGAAAATCAATACTTGGACATCTAAGCCACATGCCCGAGCGCACACACAAAAGCAACAATGAGAAACAAAAATGAGGGTGAGATGAACAATATGGACACAAGAAGCTACCTGTTTACACCGGTTGATAAGTCAGACATGTTCAAAGTAGTATTATAGATGCTTTTTCCATCCTCCAGGATGTGACCAGAGTCTTGCATCCCAGACGATTCATGCACAGCACTTCGCCCTTTCACTTTGACAGTAACTACACCTGAAGCTTTGCCAAGGGCTTCAACTTTATATAGATCAAATGAAAGCTTCTTCTGTCTCTTAAAACAGTCAACCAGATAATCCTCTCTAACAATTGGTATTTTCATCCTCCTGCCAAAACAAACTGCCACATTAGCTCAAGAAATCTCATGTTGAAGGCCAGCCATTACAGTAGCCTACCTAGCCTTTCTCATCTCAGCCTCTTGATCATCCAGCTCTCCACCAACAACTAGGCAATTAGCGTCTGTCATTTGTCAATGCAATGTACATTTATCACTTCAACGGCCTTGAACTTACCGTAAGGGATGAAGCAAGAATGGAGCAAGCATCCACACTTCAGTTCATAGAATAATACCTTTCCTAATCTTGGCATGAACTTGCCCGCCTGCTTCCTCAATTTTTGATTTCCACTCAGTCTGCACAAACACTACTGCAATAAATTTTACGTCCAACGCAGTTATAAGTTGGTTCAAAATGCTTGTGTATATTTCCATAGTTGTTCTTTGAAAAGCATGGAGAGCAAGAATCATACAAGAGATTCCTTCATTGATCCAACAATAGCAACTTTTAGATCTCCCAAGCTTTCAATTCTTGCTGATTGAGACTGACCAGCAAGCTGACCTCCTAAGGGACTGGCAGCCGAGGGTGGTGGAAGAATTCGAATGGGCTTCTTCCCTTTTTGTGATTTAAACCACTGTATCAAGAAAAAAGAGAGTTCACTAAGGGATAACTTTGCAAATGTAATACATGAGCATATTCACCTTTTTCAGATATTGATTGTCCGTTCCTTCTGGGATTTTCCATTTCCCTTGGACACGTTCTGGTTCTCGAGTAGAATAAGAACACTTGCTCCATGCTGACAGATACCCCTGACATCTATACATGCCACCAGAGTATCGAAGGGAACCAGCACAAACTGGGCAGCTAGCTAGTGCTCCAAACAACATCCCATCAGCACTAAACAAAAAAGATGCCAATAAGAGCTGTGCAACTTTTAATACATACTATAGTTTACAATATAGTATTGGCTAAAGCGCATTGCCTGTCTTGAAAACAGTTTATATACTGGTTGTGAACAACATGACAGATCACTGCTTGAGGCACCCATCAAAAAGATCAAAATATGGCATAAAAGCTAAAGCAGAAATCTACAGCACAGGTGAATGTGGAAAAATATTTACCATTTGTCACGCAAATCAAGTTCAGATCCTGTTGAATCTTGATCATTTGCTTCGAGCATTTCACGCATCTCAGAAGTTGTGACATACTTCTTTAGGTCATCTTTCAATGCCCATAACTCTTTGGTCTGGGCCTTGAGTATACTTTCTAATTCAGACACTTTTATGTCTTCATGATCAACATTCTTTGAAGAGGCGACCCTACTTGTGCACACATCTCCTTCAGTTTTGATTGCTTTTGACTTCTGCTCGCCAGTATCATCTTTCTTACGCTTCATTCCAGCTCTGGAGGTTGGCTCTTGCACAATTTCTTCATTCTTTTGTGGTTCGTGCTTTTTCCCTAAGAAGACAACCACAACACAAGACAGTAATGGGAATCACAACTAGGTGCTCTCTCTGGTTTCTCAAACATAGAAGAAACAATTGATTTTATACCATTCTTTGCTGCCAAGGGAACGATTTTAACCAAGTCTATTAGTGGTGCCTGATCAGAAACAGAAAGGCTGTCCCATCCACTTATCTTGTCCAGTTGGATAGATGGAGACATGTTCATGAAACAATGCGCATGATGCCATGCCAAGCCCCTGACTCCTTGACCATCAGGCTTCTTAGATATCCGTGTCTGAAAATGAAGAGCGCAAATATCAGGAAAAGTTGTAGTAGTCTCTGTATTGGCATCAGAACAAGAAACTATGCTGACTGGATGCAAAATTTTTCTTTTCTTTCTGTTCTCTGTTTTTTGTTCTGGTGATAGATGCCTTTGATTCCTTTCCACTTAGAAAGATGCATTCGTTTGTAGTCTAAAACTCTTTCTTGCCGACAAGAAGATTCTACTTAACAATGAGTTGTGATCAATGTATATTTGTTTCTAAGCTTAAGCTCTGGGTAGCACCCACGTATAACGGTCTAGTCAATATCTTTTAAAAAAAGTGAAGAGAATGGGTAACTTCATGGTTAGGTACTTATTTGAACTTCACATTACAAGGAGTCATTTACCAAACAACCCAAAGTTCCCAGGTTATAAATCCAAGTCACCAAAAGCCAATAATAAAATAGTTCCTGCAAATAAACCCCTAACACACTATACCTCCACAAGACATTTGGTATGATAAAGTCCTAGCAAAAGGTCTTCTACAACCTAGTAAAATTTTTCCACTGCATTTAACAAAAAGAGTAACCACAAAAATACTGTATTGTACACAAAAGCTAGTTGACTTATGATTTCCTCTAAGCAACAATAACACTTGTTTCCAGTTTTATTTATATGGGTTATGCTACGATGCAACCATGATGAATAAATACAATTTTGGTAAAAAGAACTAAACAAAAAGAACGAGGTCATACTTCCCCTTTCATAATCTTTTGACCACACTGCCTGCAGGATGCACGAGAAGTTGCAGATACTTCAATGCTGCACTCTGAGTCAGTGGAGGAATTTTTGGTTGAAGGTACATCATTTTTGGTTGGAGGACCACGACTCTCCACATATTTTCTGATCTTTTGTTGATCTTCCCATCGAAGCAACTCTAAGCCTTCAACATCATCAATCCTATTGGAAAATAAATGCTCAAGATTACTTAGTAAACAGCTCTTGATTAATAAATGAAATCCTACATAGGCATAACTGCTAGAGAACCTACAATTTTATTTGATTTGCTTTCCTCATAATGCAATCAGCATGATTCCACATCTGATCCAAAAACAAACACAAGTCAGATCTCCACAGTGAACACATCTCCAGATCGTGAAATAACATAAGAAGGCTTCAAATCAGATTCAAAACGAAGCTTGTACATCAAGAACATAATCGGCGAAGAGGAAAATTTATAATCACAGTGAAACTATTCATAATTAAACATAAAGAAAAACAGCTTATTAGGGTTGTTTTCGAGTAGACCATATAAGTAGTATCTACATATCACACAAGGCTCACACTGTGTGACCCAAAATCAGCTTGTCACATAATTCATATACACATCTAGCACATGGCTTTCAGTAATTAATTTCATTGCCATCCTCTAAAACTCATCGTATAGTGACCTATTTGGTTTTTCATGGTATGGTAAGTCTGAGCAAAATGGGAAGTAACTTTAGTCACTTAAAAACTTAGAACTAACTTGCTTAAGAAAGAGACAAGTGGATCTTTTAACATCATATTTTACTTTGAAGGCATCAGCAACCATCAACTATCATCATTCCATAGATGAGACTTAAATTAAACCTATCCCAAAGTTTGAAAAGGGGTAAGCACCTTAAAATTATATCATATTGATTGTAATCAGTATAAAAATGCTCCACAAACCCCAAGAAAATCTTGCTTGAGCTTTTCTCTATTACTTTTCTAAGGATAAACCAAATCATATCAAGAAAGATACCAAGGGGATACACCCTTATCCAAAACAACTTCGGAGGGGAAGCCAACCATAAATAATTTCCAAGAGAAAGCTGTCATTTGCAACAAGCTATAGGTATAAAATTGAATTTCCTCACTGTATCAAGAGCGAAGAGCATTCTATTCCTCTCTTTTAAGGAAATTGACCGAAGATTAAAAATTGATCTTGAAACAATCTCTATTTTGGCAAAATATGAGGGTGCTGGTGCTCACATAAATTGTATTGTGGTAAAAGTTACTTAATGCATGTCACCCATTTTGTAGGTCCCCTTAACCCTCCAAATGAACATAGATTGCAAACATGCTCGCAGGGCTGATTGCCGCATATTCATAAGTAAGCAAACTTAACAATGTGCCTTCATTCTCAACATAATCTCCACTAACGTGATGTCTACTAGACAATAAAGTGGAGTGTGCTCTACCAACAAGTGAATCGCATGAAGTAGGATTTGTTTTTATTTTGACATGGGTCCCTCCTGCATCCCTCTCAGCTTAATCCCAAATCCCAGTAGAAAAGTCCTGCTGAAAGCAAGATGATGAACATGATCGTACCAGACAACTTCGCTCATTTGGGAAACAGGGTGATTTGAAGACCATCGAAACAAAACTCAACGAGTTAATTCTATGAAAATGCTACACAGGCATCCCACATTACCTCTCGGTGAACACATTACAGGGCCTTACAAGCAACAAAAGGTCCAAAAACCCGACAACTTAACGTAGAGCCACACCATTCCTTAGCATAATAATCGAAAGCTCGAGTCGAAACCAAGCCGAACCGCTAAGGACAGCGAACAGGAACCACGAGCACCTCAACTAATGCGAGAGAAAAACCGACACGAAACAAGACGTTCCATCCAAAACCAAGAAATGGGCAAGCAGAAAACACGATCAAGAATCTACAGCGAAAATCAAAATGACAGCTTTAAGCCCCCGTAACTCACCGTAACAACACAAGAACCTAAAGACTGGGCCATTACGAGTCAAAAAGAGAGGGGGGTGGGGAGAGAGAGATTACAGGGATGAAGCCGTCGAACTGGGAGGACTGGACCATCTTGCCGAGCCGGAGCTTCTCCTTGTCGATGGTGCTCTTGCAGGACTTGCACGACGATCGCGCCGACTTCGCGTACTCCACCCTCCAGGGCTTGGTGGGTACGGTCGCCATTGCTCTCCAACCCTCGCCAAGAACCCGATTGGGAAGACAGTGTGAAGGAAGGAAGGAAGGTGATCAGCGTCAGCTCGCGAAGGGAACAAGCACTTTTTGGGTTAATCCCTTCGCTCACGATCGCTCCACTCGTCGCTGCTCCACTCGCCACTGGATACTGTGGATCAGCTGAGGCTTGCAATGGAAGCTTCGGGACATGGCCGGGTCGAGCGCTCCCTTCCCCTGCCAATGCCAACGCGGCCCGGTTGAATGATCCGGCCCTGCATTCGAATTTTCGCTAGCATTCTAATTAACAAGACTTTCGGTCCTAAATATGGCCTTAAAAAAGTTTCATCCTAAATCTCGATCGGACCTTGCAGTGCCCCGGTAGAGAAGGTATCCTAAGCATGACCTTAAATTTTTTTTATCTTGGACCTCATTCGAACCTCAGAGTGCCCCAAGGTAGAAGGTATTCCTTCTTTTCTGGGAAGATGAAGATATAAGAGGAATTTGGGATGTGAGGCGGATGTATCCCGACAAGTTAAAATAGAATGTATATCCATGAAGCCTGCCACCTCTCGTTGAAGTGGACAGACCACGTAGGCCCTTACAAGAGCGCAAGCTGTGCATTTGGCTATTTGTTTGCTCCAAATTAACGAATTAGGGCAAAATTACCTTCGTTATTCTGTGTTTTGGATGGCACGAATCGGTCTTCTTCACCCCTCTTGCCTACTATCGAGAGCTATTGTGGCAAAAATTTGGAAGATGAGGAAGAAGCGACAATACCAAGGGTACTCACTGAATCGTCGTGGTGAGACAAGAAAGATTGAACAAAAATGTTCAATACATCTTTCAGAGATAATGACCGTTATCGATCCAGGGGATGTGGCGACTATGGAGCTCCTCTCTCTCAAGAAGCCGTTTCTTTGTCGGTGGCCAAATTCGTCTGTTGGAGCTCGTGGGTGTCCTAGTTTTAGCAGTGGCTACCGTGAAGAAAACAAAAGGTAGAAGAAGAACTAGAAAAAAAAAATGCAAGAAAATTTTGTGAAGATAGAGAGAGAATTGATTTCCTCGAGCGTCGTCATTTCGCACTCTCGAATTGCCACGTCATTTCATTCATTATCGACTCCAGACTTAATTTTTTTTTATAAAAAAAGTCACGTCAGACTGAAAATTTCATTACAAAGGCCATGTAGAACTTTTCACCGAAATATGTCGCCGGAAGCACGTACGTGATTGTTTTTTCACCGTTGGTTGCTCGAAGAGTTTTGTCGCTAAAGTGCGAAGGTTATGACACCTATAGTATTGTTTTTTGGCTTGGACGAGCCTGACTCGGACCCGACAGGAATATGTCGCGCTTCCTAAGTAAATGTTTCATGCAAGTCCGTCAAGTGAATTTATCCTCGTCAAAATGCAGAAGAAAGCGACTGTTAACTATAACGAGCACGAAGCATGCCCAGCAGCCGCAACAATTAGTCCTTGAGTCATAATACTCAGAGGCTAATATCTACCTTCTTCCAGTATTCTAGACTGAGACCATGTTTTGCAATCATCCAACATCCAACCCATTGCAGCTCACATGAGCAAAGCTCATTCAAACTCTAATGAACAGAACTGAGCTATGTCGCTTGAAAAAATACCAGAGCAAACCCTACAGATACAGAAGATTTATAATTCTGTACATACTCAAGATCTATTACAGAGCACCTGTATAAACAAGAGAAACACCAATTCCAAGTCACCACAATCTCATTGTGAGTGTCAATTGATTACAATTGCTGCAACTCAATACATCTGCTCAAGTAAATTTGCTTTAATATTTTCCTCAAACAGTTATGACATGGTTACGTATTTTATAAATCCGTCAGATTCAGTTCAAAACTCAAAATTCTCAGATGTACTATACCGTGCAATCCTCCCTCAACTCTATGCTTGGTCATATTGAATAAATTACCTTCACCCAGGTATCATACTAACTATGAGATTATGGAGTCCACACCGATGATAATTCAGCCCAGCGCATGCTTCACTGCACCTGAGGAGCTTGCATATACAGATACTGCAGAACGCACGATAGTTTAGCACCCTTCCAACTAAGAAGGAGAGGTCTGTGTTGGGTTTGTAAATATAATACCTCAAAGGATTTTCCTGATCTTTCATATTCAAGCATGCTGAGAGCAACTTCACAACTTTGAGAAACTATAGGCTCGGGGTCCTCGGAAAATTCCTCAAGGAGTGCCATGCTTTGGTCATCTATCAAGACAAACTTCATTAGATATGTCAGGAAAGATAACATGCTGTAATATCAATAGTGGAAAAAAAGATCTGCCAGGCTGTAAGATTTATCTAGGGGCTCACAAGGGATACTAGAAAAACTAGAAGTAAGATTGGAGCTTCATTTATTATGAGAATTAAGTAAAAATCCCTAAACAAGAGCTATGGCAACGTGATACGTCCAACAGAGAGAGGAAGCCAAGACACAGTCATCCTGAAAACCCTCACCAACTTAACCCCATTTAACTCATCCTACAAAAGCACAAGGAACATGATCACAAATACATTTTACTAGCAAAATAAGGTTCTTCACAACTGCGGGATCCTCTCGAGACTCCACTACCAGATAGTGAATTGGGTGAAACCAAATAGAAAATTTTCCTTCCTGTTCCTATTATCAAAAAACCTTACTAGAAAGTCAGGAAAGTAAATCAGACCTGCAATTGATCCAAGGGCCTCAGCAGCTTCATGTCTAACCATCGGATGCTCATTTGTTTTTCTAAGAATGTTTGAGAGTTCAGCTGATGCAGCTTTATCTTGCAACTGGCCCAAAACGTAAGCAACCTGTATATGACAAAACAAGTTACCCAAATTTAGAAAATGTTGAACGAGGTGACGAAGCAAAGCCTCATCAAAAAACTTATGCGCCCCTCATCTTCACCTTAAATAATTACCTATTTAAAGATTACCATCAACAACAAAGAATCCAAAGTTAGCGATAACTTTACAAGGACAATAGCAATCAATTGGAAATAAAAATTTTAATTTAAGCAAGTGAAGGATGTTCATGGTGAATTTAAAGAAACCCCACAATACACGGTTTTTAATAGCGAAAGAAGAGTACAAGAGAAAGCAAAGTGAGATAATTAAACCTCCTCAAAAGGTTTTCATGGCAAGTGACACAATCGGACTATTTACTAACCTCGTGACGGAGAAGAGCACTATTTGCACCCAAAGAATCAATTATAGCCTTAATGGCTTCATCTCCACCATGATTCCTAAGAGCAAAAAGGGCTGCATAACGGTCATACATGCCTCTTTCTTCATCCAGAAGAACTTCCCTATAAAAAGAAAGCAGCATAGTCAACCAGCAAACAAATGAATAAAAATGGAAAGATGCCCATCTTGATGATAGTAACTGTATGAACCTGAGATGACCAACAGATGAACAAGATGAAGCAGGTGGAGCAGGGTCAACCGACATAAATGGTGATCTCTCAGTCATAGAAGAAGAATCATTGGCAGCTTTCAGTTGTTTGATTCGGCTAAGAGCCAATTCACATGTTTCTCGAACCTCTTGAGCTGGATCATGAGCCAAACTATGTTCCAGGATAGGAACATTACTCTCCAAGCCGATTGCACCAAGAGCTTCTGCTGCCTGCACCATTAAAAGAGTGTGTGGAAACATGAGTAATCTTCTTAATTCCAAAGAGGTTTAAAAACCCTATAAGACAACGCGTTTCATTGAAAATATACAACAAACCCAACCTCGTGGCGGACGATAGGATGCAAAGAAAGATCATTGAGAACAGCCTCTAAAGCAGGGATTGCATCCACATCTTGCATCTGTCCCAATGCAAATGCAGCTTCATGTGCCAACAAATTTGACGGATCCCTAGTTGCTGTTAATAGCACGAGAGGGAAAATCTCATGAGAACTCTGATAGTATATCAATGTCATTCCTTCGGATGATAAATGGCCTCAACACATTAACACGCCTCCTCTTCCTTTGAAGAGTGGAGCTAACTACACGTATATTTGATACCACATCTTCCAAGTTCCAATAGAATCATAATATTTCAGTAAGGTGCATAATCTTTGCACATAATTTCTCATACTTGTAAGTCTTATTCACTACTTTTCACATGAATGTTTGTTATAAAAACACATTGTCCACTTACATTTATTTAGTAACAACAAGAATTTCACTAAAAGAAACTGTTCAAATTTTCAAATTCATTATAAATATACAGGTTGCCTATGTTTAAAAACACCTTCCAAAATGGAAGCATCTTTGAGACATCGTTTCAAGTGTTTAACACACCATAACTAGTTTCTACCATCTAATACCTCATCTCCCAAGTTCACTTGCTTTATGCATGAGTTGATGTTTAATTGCCCAAAAACCTTCACTCCCACACACTTGACCTCATTAGAACTTATCAGGTTTCCCTCGAGATTAGGCAGCACCTCACCAATCACAGAAATTACCTACTGCACCTTTCATTACATATTCATCCAAACTCGTGTAATTTCCCCCACCTTTTTATGAACCAAAGGGACCAGAACCACTCAATGTTAATATCAAATCCTCATGACTAATCCAATCTGAGAATTTCATACTACAGATAGTTGTATGACTACTCTGCAACCGTACAGATAGAAGCATAAGTTCTAGGGAAGGCCCGAGGACACTGCAATAAAAGAAGAAAAAGCCAGCAACCCGGCCACTGCCAAACCCATCGCGTCGCCACCTATGATCTCATTAAACCATTTTCCACCCACACCACTTCGCGATACGAGCTTCGCCCGTCAAAGCGAACAGCACCATATGCTCGAAACGCTATCACAGGGACATGATCATTTCCCAGACACCTCCAAAGTCAACCACAACAAACCCTGATTTCTACAAGACGCCGAGACTCGTAATTCAGCACCAGAAAGACAAACGGTTGTCCAAAGCCATTCAGCAGCAGACAGCCTACGAGCAAGACTGCCCTAATCAACGAATGGGGCATCGCGAATTGGGCGTTCCCCTTCATAAATTCCCAAAGCAGGTAACCATCTTAACGTGCGTCGAAGTTTAAAAAAAAAAAAAAGAAGAAGGGGGGGAACCTTGGATGAGGGCAGTGCGAGGGGCAGGGCCTTTGAGGTTGCGGAGAGAGAAGAGGGCCCTGAATCGCTCCGAGATCGGCTGGCTCGAGTCGAGCAAGCGGTCGCAGAGGAATCTCTCCACGTCCGGCGATGCCGTGAAGCCCCTGCCGTCGCCGAACTCACCCATGAGAAATCTTCCGCTTTGCTCTTCCGCGAGCGAGCAAAGACACGGAGAGACGTTAACCCCACGAAGGCACGCGTAGGATCGGATTCGGATGTATTTGGGCTTTTTACCTGTTAAGTAAAAATGTGGAAATTAAGGAGGGGCGATCGAGGGTAGCGGCACCATTCGATGTTATCATAAGAGTCCTACCCACTATACGACTCCTTTGCACCACTTGCCCATAACCCGGAAGTCCAAGATTGGCAAGCCCGATCACTGGAGCCCATCTATATGCTAACAGTTAAAAAGTCTCTCCACACGAGATATGTCGCAATTAAACATACAGCACGAGACTTATCTCACTGAACACATTAGAATCGTAACCTCATGAGAGCAAAATGTCGAAATCTCTGCTCATATAAATGTAAGAAATCTATCTATAGAGCAAGCAAAATCTCTGTTAATGGTCTCGTCATAGTCCAATTCGGCTGCTGCTTAAATCCCTGTGTAACGAAGCGAGCTATGAAGTGTCCAATAGTTCCATCGGATTTTTCCTTGACCTTAAAAACCTGTTTAAAAGCGATTAAGTTCTTAGAAAAATCAGGTGTACAAGATTCCACTTGTGATTGGTGACCAAGTCATTGAATTCATCTATCATGGCTGCTTTCCAACGTGAGTCAAGAATGGCCTTAGAGTGAATTTAATAGAGAGAGGAGTCAGGTTGACACACGATGAGTCGCGTCGAAGGGAGGCGCGATGAAGGGGAAAAAGAAATGGGAGCATGGTAGGTGGGCTGAGAGGATGAGAGTGGTAGGTTAGGAGGTGGGGCTAGAGAAGAGGTGAGAGGCGAATGAGGAGTTTGAGTTAGATAGGAGGAGAGATGGCATGAGGAGGAAGAAGGAAGAATGGGTTGATTAGAGAAAACAAAAAGCGAAGGAGCTGATATGGAACAGTGGAGGACGGGACTAAAGGTTGAAGGACTTTGTGAAATGGAAAAGTTCTCTTCGCTAAACCGAACATTACGACTAATAAAAGTACAATCACTTGATCGATCAAAAACATTGATAGCTTTTGTGATTCGACACGTGCCTGAGAAATACACAGGGTATGAAATGAGGTGCCAACTTATTGGAGACATGAGATGGAAAAAAATAAAATAAAGGATAACAAGCACACCTAAAAACCAAAAGAAAAAAAAAACTAGTTAAATGGAAACCCAAATAAAAAGTGGAAAGGAGAACTTTTTTTAAAAGAGTATCAACCCAATATGAAGAAGGCAAATGAGCATGTATTAATAAGGTTAAAGACAATTCGACTAAGTGTCTAATTTTTCGTTTCGACAAGCTATTTTGAGATGAGGATATGATCTGGACAAGAAAAATGATGAATAATACCATTTTCACATAAGTATGTTTGGGACGAATTGTTGGAATATTCACCTTCGTCATCGGTCTATAAAAAATTAATTTTGGCATTGCACATATTTTCAATAAAACAATGGAAGCAACAAAAGCGTGTAAGCACTTTAGATTTATTTTTCATGAGAAATATCCTAGTGAACCGAGAGTAGTCATTAATAAATAACACAAAATATTTGAAAACCAGAAATAGATAAAATTGGTCTCATCTAGACATCAAAATGAATTACAATTAAATGAAAATATGCATGGGGACTAACAGGCTCAAAAGGCAATCAATGAGATTTGCCCACAAGACAAGACTCGTAAGATTCTCACTTAGAAATATAATCACAACATGACAAAAAACTTGTTATTAGGATGGCCAAGACGAGCATGCCAGCGAGTGAGTGAAGTAGCGGACGCCATGATAAAATGCACGTGAGATGATACCAATGAGTTGGAAATCAAATAAAGACCATGAGAGGAGTTAGCTTGAAGGAAAAATTTCCCTATTCACTAGTCCTCTAATGAAAACGGATGAATTACTAAAATTAATAGCACAAGAATTTTTATGGCAAAGTTGAGTAACTGAGAAGAGATTGCAAGCAAGATTAAGGACATGATAAATGAGAGATAATAATAAAGATCAAGAACTAGTATGTAAAAAGTCTTTACCAATTTGCTTAAAAGGTAATAAATGACCAAACCAATTGAGACTTTTGTCAAATTGTAGAAAGGTCGAGGGTTTAAGATTTTACCAATGTCACTAGTCATGTGTGCTGATGCTTTTTTGTCAAGATACCGCGTTGGATTAGAAGAAGTCTTACCAATGGAGAGAGCTAAGAAGGAATCTGGGAGATCGTTGGTGGTGAAGACATGGTTGAATCGTTGTCGCATTGAAACGCGGTGTGTCCTACCTCGTTACGAATTTGACAAAATAATGAGGCCGAAGTTGGAGAATGACTCCCTAGGTGAATAGGAGTACATAGGTCCTCGAACCACCATGTGGACGACTAGAGGAGGTGGAGATGATCAGCATACGTGGCCGATAATGACTATGAACTGAGCCGATCATAGGAGGATTGCAAGACTGGATGATCACTCGAGATCTGTCTACCATGTTAATGACTAGATTTTTAGCCTCTAAAATTATGTCCACCCCGAGACCATCGGAATGGGGGAGCGAGTGAAGTGGCATGGCAGATTAAAGCATGATGAATACTGGATGAAAATGAGGCATTCGATTTTCGAAGAAAACGTTCTTCTTGAATGAGGAGGTGTGATCTGCGTGATCGCAAATCATTAAAGGAAAGAATTGTAAGGCCGTTGGTGACTATAGTAGCAAAGGGATCTTACTTAAATTAGAGCCCATTGAGGGCTCGAATTACAAATCCTTGTTGACGACGAAGCAATTGATTGCGATGAGAAAGTTTGCCATTGATCAAACATGGATTGGTCAAGTTTTTTCTTTTGTAGATGGGTCTTTTCTATGTCCGCGGAAGTTTGTCACTAATCAAAGTGACATGGTTAGTGGTCAATCCCTCTTATTCCATCTGGGTCAAGACGGATTGAAACTTGATAATTGTCTGCATCAAGCTTGATGGAGACTAGACTTGTGATGAGAAGAACAAGAGATGGCAAGGTTGAGTGTACGTTTGAAATTTGAGCAGCAGCAAAAATCGGAGAAGCAGAAGAGGCGAAAGTGTGCGCAATGTTGTTGAGAGGTGACGAGAAATTGTGATTAACGGAAATAGAAGATGATGGGTAAATAGATGGTAGAGAGGAAAAAAAAACTAGACAGGCTTAAGACATTGTTAAGATAGAAATATGAGCAAATGAAGTATTGATTCGAGATAGAGATATTGAAGAATTTGATTTGTTTCCTACTCTTATACTATATAAATTTTTAGAGTTAGAAAAAGTATAACGACAAAGTGTTCATGGTTGCCTTAACCATAATTAGGGTTGTATGATACGTATTTATAAAAATGATTAATTACAGTTAGGGTACAGATAGAAACATAATTACAAAAAGACCCTATAATACACATAAATTACATATAAATGGATGAAATTTGTCACTTCTGATATGATTTTTCATATTTTTCCTAATGAAAATGCAGAACATCTACTCGCATGTAAAGATTTGTTTTACTCCCTTCAAATTTCATTTCTTTACCCTCTATTTTTTGTGTGTTTTGCAATTAATTACGAATGTTTTTGTCCCAAAATACGGGAAAGAGGAAATTTTGGAACTTTAAGTCTCTATGATGGGCAAAGGTACATCACAATAGCCATAACTTGTGTACGCGATCACTTTGGTGCCATGATGCCTTTGCTAAGCAACACCCCAAATATAGAAGCAGACACACACAGCTCAGTACAAAGGTTGGAATTTCCTCTTTATTAGGTCTTCAGTGCAGATCCAACCCCATCCTCTTTATTAACCCGCTCTTCTCTATACCCTCTCGTTTCGTCTGAACTAAACTTTGACCTAACGTGGCCTGGTCTTAATGCACATTCTCTTGCATTGGATGTAATTTACTGTTTTCTAACAATTTCATAATTAATATTTCCTCAGGTGAAGCTTGCATCGAGAGAGAGTGCCGAATGGATAGGACCCATGCGAGCCTTGATGAAGAGGGAAAGAAGATCAAGAGAGAGGGCTTGGTTTGTGAGGAGCCGTCAAATGGCCTCTCATGGCCTCCCAAGAGCTAAACATGCAGCTTCTGCAAGAGGAGATTTAGATCTGCTCAAGCTCTTGGCGGTCACATGATCGTCCACAGAAGGGAGCGAGCCAGGCTGAAGCAGTTGTCCTCATGGGTCGTTGAGTGTCATCCTCCTCCTCCTAACCCGAACCCTAACATTGTCGTGACTAGCTCTTCTCAGAGCTCTCACTCGCAGTCTCAGCTCAACCCTACCCTCTTGCCACCTTTACCACCATCATCTCCTTCGGTGAACAAGCCCTTCTTATGTGCTTGCCCTCCTTCGTTGTCCTCAGATCTTGATCATGGGGAGCGCAAGAAGTTGGTTGTCATCGCAGCCGATGATGGCCCTCCTAGTGGTTTTCCGAGACGAGCAAGTGATGATGAGGGGAAGAAGCGAAGCAGGAGATCAGCAGGTGTCGCTGGAGTGGAAGAAGAAGCAAAGGGACAACTAGAGAAGGATAAGCTCGTAGAAGTGCATGGAGATCTTAGCAGATTGAAGCTGGAGATCGGGCTGATCAAGGATCCTAGCTGCAGTCTCGATTTGGAGCTCCGACTCGGGATCTTAGTGCTGTAATCTCCCAAATCCTTTTGGCAACAACAACGACGATTATTATTCGCAAATTCCTCAAAATCGCAATTTGATTTAATGTAATGTCTCCCATACTTCCATATGATCCCCTGTATATTTTCATGTATATGCATCTTTTTAACAAATTTGATAATTACAAGATTTTTGGTGTCTCCTTTCTGTCTAAAAGTTGAGTGGTGATTAGCAAATGCCAGGTAGAGTCCTTAGAACTATCCATTTTCATGGAGTCAACAGGATGTGAGTTTATTGACTTATATATACATATACATATATATATATATATATATATGTATGTATGTATGTATTATATCTTGATGCATTGGGTGACCCTCTTCTTTCACTATATGATTATGATCTTGAAGAGAACATCGATTCAAACCGAGCGCCACTTATTTTGATTTTCTGGTATATTTGTGCTATGATGAAAGATTGCAACTGGGACAAAAAAATATATATAATCTTGTTTTCTAACTCGTCAAAAAAATTCTCAGACAAGTGTTTCTTTTGATAGCCATCGTGATATTTGGTGAATAAGTGATGATCCAATTGCTTGTACTATCGTGAAATATTGAAGGATTTAGTTTGAAGTTTAGTCGAACCATTTTATTCGTTTTGCCTGATCTTCTTCCTCAAAGAGAGGTTCAACGTAGAACTATTTCATTTGTCAAATAAATTTATTATGACATGTAGATAGCAGCATACTCCGAATTACTACCATAAGAAGTACTGCTTAGACAGATTATGCAGAATTGAATTCAAATTTCCAAATGATATACACCACCCGCAACACCTAAGAAGAAGGTTTCCAATGCAGCTAGAGAAACAAGACAAGAATTTTCCTAAAAAACCTTCTTTTCTCATCATACTATTTGTGTCTTGTCAATACATGCCGCATGCTCACGAATTGCGACTAAGATGCATCACAATCACATTGCTACTTCTATCGTAATTGCAGTTATTCAGCAATGATACATGCAGCCATGGGAGCTGCGAAGGGATCAGTAACATGTTTAGATCACAATGTCTTCTATTCACAGTAACTTTGTGCTTACACCTGTCACTGCTTAGGTGGAGGCCCTCACGATGCACGTGGGAGGAGCGGTTTGCGTGCATCCACGAGGATTAATCGGGTCGAAAGATTAGGGATTGTAATAAGAAGAAAAGAAATGTTAGATGACTGAACAATCAGGAAACAGTAAATGGGAATACAACATATTCATGTGGTTCAACCAATTAGGAACAATGTCCCATTGACATTTGGAAGTTACAATAAATAGGAATGCAATTATTTATTTCGTTTGGAAGTTTCAGTGAACTGGGAGCTTGGCTAGTTTAAGCTACCTGCGTGGGTGGCGTATAGTAACATTCGTATTTTCTCCAAGCGCGCCTGAAAAATAAATGCATTCGAGTGTTCGGATGGCATGGGCCGATGAGGTCTTCACTATAATTTTGAGCGCATAGCTTTGGTTTTGCAATGAAGAGAGATGACTAATATACCTTGTTGTAAATTTGAATGGCTTCGAATCAAAGAGCAATCAAGTCGGACTTTGAGGCGTGATATCACTTTCCTTAAAGATTTATTTGCCCCACAATTGTTGCTAATGGTCACCAGCAAAAATCCTCCAGGATACAACAAAGTCTCAAAATGAGAATACTAGATAGCAATTCTAGTATTTCTCCAGGGTCTCTCTAGGAAACAAAAGAAATGATTACTGTAGTTTTGGAAAGAAGACTTGAAGAAATTGATCTCTCTTTTCTTTCTTGCCAAAAACTGACATATATAGAAATCAGTCTTAAAGAACATTGGCAACTCTTCACGAAAGGTTGCAAAGCTAACAAAGATATTCCTTCGGAAGAAGTTGCAAACTGAATAGATGCAACCCTTCGGAAAAGATTGAAAACTGAATAAGTATAATCTCCAAAAGTTGTCTTGGAAAGACACATGTAAAATTCGGAATAAAATAAATAAATAAATAAATATATAATTCCGAATTTTCATAATTTCGAAAATTACTTAATAAACAAAAAAACAACCTTTCAAATAATAAAAATTAATAAGATAACCTTACGAAATAAAATAAAAATATAAAGGGAAGTGCTAAGTGCGCCTAATAATCGCGCCAAAATCGCGCAATTATTCGCGCACCCGCACGCGGGTATTGTGTGGACTAGCACACACCCCATTGTCTTCACTCTAAATAGCAAGAAGATATTCACAGTTATAAAGTGGCCCACTTTCTCAAAACTTTCCTATGTGGGACAAAGGAAAATGCACTATTTTGTTTGTTTTACAAACAAACAACCAACAATCCCCCACTTTGTTTGTAAAACAAAATACCAACTAAGATTAAAAAAAAATAAAAAAATACAGCCATAATTTTCATGAGATTAATATACATACATAAAGGTCTCTTTCGAGTTAAACCTTTACTTAGTACAAGTACCTCAAGACTCTATCAAAGTGACAAGTAGTTCGGCTTTAAACTCGTACTTTTAAATAATAGAATCGCACATACCGCACATATACTAACCTCTTGTTTCAGCGAGAAGTTCTATATTACTCGGCACTATTATGGCCTTGTGCTTGATCCTGTTTCATGAGCTCTCTAGAAAGCAACCCTAACTTTCGTAAGAAGCGGCACCACTTCTAAGCTCATATAGGTGAAGTATCTACCATGTGTTTCTGTTACTATTAACACATTACATATTTGTACAATACTTCATTAAGAATTCAATTCACCCTTGAAACCGTAACAGACGATACCGACTTCTCATATCAGGGCTAGCGTCGGTATCAAACAATCACTTTTCAGTAACTTGTTTTTACCCATTAAACCTTATAACTAGTGATGTTCTAGAAAAAGGTCGGATTACCATTACTGATGATTTTAATTAAAGGGTTTCAGCCCCATTTCTTATGAGGTCATTTTTACCATATCTTTTGGTAATGCCTTTGTCAAAGGATCAGCCAAATTATTACTTGACCTCACGTAGACAATTGTTATGGTACCATCTTTAATCAATTGTCTCACAAACTCATGCCTTAGGCTAATATGTCTAGACTTCCCATTATAGGTGCTATTATAAGCTCTTGCCAAAGTAGCTTGACTATCACAATGAATAGAGATAGGAGGCATAGGACTAGGTCATAATTTGATATCCAACAATAAATTCCTAATCCATTCAGCCTCTTTCCCAGTTGCCGCTAACGCAACGAATTCGGATTCCATCGTTGAGTGAGTTATACATGTTTGTTTCTTGCTCGCCCAAGAAACAGCACCTCCGCCAAGTGTGAAAATCCATCCAGAAGTGGAATGTTTATCACCCACACTTGTAATCCAACTAGCATCGGTGTATCCTTCTAATACAGCTGGATAATTATTAAAGAACAGACCTAAATTTTTAGTTCTCTTAAGATAACCAAAAATTCTGGTAATAGCCCTCCAATGTTTTATACTTGGATTACTAGTATACCTACTCAACTTGCACACAGAATGAGCAATATCAGGTCTAGTACAATGCATCGCATACATTAAAGACCCTATAGCACTCGCATATTCAAGTTGTGCTACCGCTCTACCAGTATTATAATTTAACTTAATACTGGAATCAAATGGAGTACTTATTTCCTTGAAACCAAGATGCTGAAATTTATTTAGCATTTTTTCAACATAATCACATTGGCTCAAAGAATAACCCCCACCATACTTTTTAACTTTAATACCTAAGATAGTATCTACTTCACCTAAATCCTTCATTTTAAACATTGAGGTTAGATACTTCTTAGTCTCAACTATTCCAGTCATATTTTTTCCAAAGATAAGCATATCATCAACATACAAGCATACTAAGACACCATAGTCTTTAGTGAATTTAGAGTATATACACTTATCAACACTATTGTGGATGAAACCATTAGACAATATGACCGAATCAAATTTTTCATGCCACTGCTTAGGAGCTTGCTTAAGCCCATAAAGAGACTTCGTCAATTTACATACTTTCCTTTCATTTCCAGGAAGAACGAAACCTTCTGGTTATTCCATGTAAATTTCCTCATTTAAGTCTCCATTCAAGAAAGCAGTCTTCACATCCATTTGATGAACACAAAGATCATAAATGGAAGCTATAGCAAAAAGAATTCGAATAGAAGTTATACGTGCAACAGGAGCATACGTATCAAAATAATATATTCCTTCCTTTTGTCTATATCCCTTTGCCACTAGTCTAGCCTTAAAAGCTTGGATAGAACCATCAGAATGATATTTTCTTCTAAAAACCCATTTGCAACCAATAGGCTTGGATCCTTTAGGTAAATCTACTAATACCCAAGTATTATTGGACATAATTGAGTCCATTTCATCATTTACAGCTTCTTTCCAAAAAGAAGCATCTTTAGAAGACATAGCATCAACAAAGCTTTTAGGATCGTCTTCTAAATTTAATACTAAAGGGTATTTATTTACCACGTTATTATCTCTGTCTCCTTCAACAAGGAAAACGTGAGTAATATAATCTGGACCTAAATCCTTAGATTTTCTTGCTCTAGAGCTTCTCCTCAATTCAGTCATGTCTCTAGAATCATTTGTTCCTTTCTCTTGAGAATCTACATGAGTTTCTATAGGTCTCGAATTATTTTCAATAATTTCAGAACCTGTAGAACATTTGTTCTTAAAGAATTCAACATCTCTCGATTCTACAATGACATTGGATTCTAAGTCAAGAAGCCTATAAGCTTTACTGTTTTCAGCATATCCAATAAAGACACTTTTGATAGCTCTAGGACCAAGTTTAGTTCTTTTAGGGTCCGGTACTCGATAGTATGCCAAACACCCTCACACTTTAAGTTATGACATGTTTGGTTTTCTACCTTTCCATAATTCATAAAAGCTCACGTTATTTCTCTTAGATGGTATTCTATTATGAATATAACATGCAATAAGCAATGCTTCTCCCCAAATATTAATTGGTAGCTTTGAATTCGA